GTGATAGAATGCAACAATGGGAACCGAACGAAATAGGCTAATCTAGGAACTTGTGAAACATCGTCATCGGCATCAGTAGGGTTATATCGGATCCACGAGTGGTGGCTGCTAAACATCGACGTTTTGAAATGTTGCAAGAAGATCCTTCCGAAATACTCTTGGTCTGGGCACTAAGAGTTACAAGGTACTTGCTACGTTACTATAAACTAGCTTACGCTAGAATAATGATGGAGGCGCGCTGCGTTACAGCACTAATGTATTAACCGCAGTATGGAGAAGGTTTCAGATATCGTCTCGGACCTGTGTCTGAGGGTAAGGCATCGTTAAGATCAGCAATACTAATTAGACCGCTTACTATTAATTTAGGCGGGGGGAGGCGAAGTGACTAGTATTCGGACGATCTTTACCACGTGTCCTGTCTCGCCTAGGTTTCTGCAAGGTATTGGATAAGGTAAGCGCATGGATCTAGGTAACCAAATAATGCTAGTTATGTCTATACTAGATACTTAAAGTAGAGGGTTATGATTCACGAGGGGGAACACGGCTAGTCCGCCATTTTCAGTGACGCCATGTTCAGCGACGCCGTGGTCGCCATATTGATTTCATGGTGGGACGCTTTGGAAATTTCCTAGGTTTTTACGTTCGATAGGGACGTCAGAAACAATCACGATACTTAAAATGCTATAGAAGACAATATAAATCTAGTGAACTGCTATGAACTGCTATTTAATAACTGAGGAATTACTACTAGGTACTCAAAGCAAACGGTTATGATTCAAGAAGAGACCATGGCTAGTCCGCCATGTTCAGTGACGCCATGGTCGCCATATTGGTTTCATGGCGGGATGCTTCGGAAATTTCCCAGGTTTTTACGTTAGATAGGGACGTCACAAACAATCACGATACTTAAAATGCTATTGTATTATAATAATCAAATCACTGAGTAGACTCGAGATTACTATGGGATTCGATGAGCTTTCGTAATTTCATCGACTGAATGTCGACACACGGGTTAGCTGTGGTAGAATAGATCCGCTGATTTACATTTCAGGGCAAGGTGGCTCACATGTTTATCGTTCTACGGTTGGCACACAATTTATATAGGTAAATGGGATGTTAATCACTTAAGGTTACTTATCGCTAGTAGAAAATCCTCGCTGGTCCGGGTAAGAGCAACACGGATGTTTGCGCTATCTCACTGCAGAGCAGACTGAGGCTTGGGTGACAATGGGTGTGTGCGCAAAGCGTCTCCAACAGGGCAGCGGGGCTTGCTTGTCCCGAAGAAAACGGAGTGTCGTTGGAGGACGTCTCGGACAAAAACGCGGCCTCTCTCACGGCCGGTCTCGCGGCCGTGATTCCAAATTCAGTGAGCGTGGAATATCTCGCAAAATACTGAATGTCTAAACAGTATAACGCCTCATGTATATAAGGGGATACGTGAAAAAAATATAAATATTTTCAGTAAAAGTCTACATTCAGCTAACAAACTCTCAAATAAAATGTATAATTGGTATTATTACCGAATAAAAATGTCTATTGACATTGACCATTAACATATCTAATGCTTCACAGGCTTCAACGCCCCCGATGTGAACACTCGCAAGCGACAGCGCCACTCGTCGGCAGACGCGTTCCTCAAGCCAAACCTCCACCGCCCCAACCTGCGCTTACAAACCAACTCTCGGGTCATCAAGGTCGGCCTTAATAGCATCTAGTATTTTATTTGAATAAATAATTCTATGACTTATTGCTCTGGAACACGAATTTGGATACAAATAGCATTCTTAACAGCTGATTTATATGTTGCGAAGGGTTGATCTTTTGTCTATTGACTGTTACTTCGGTGACGGGATAGGAATAACATTGACGGCATATATTGTATTCATAAACAAAAGTTAAATCTTTTGTCAATAGACGGTAACACTAGTTATTTTGAGCTTAGGTACATATAAATAACATAGGTATGGTAATGTATCCTATACATAACAGCAGTTTTCAAACTGAGCATTCGAAATGTATTATAGGAATGATTTATTTTCAAAAGAGACTAAAATTGGACAGTTGTATTTTAGTCATAGAATTTCGATTTCGTTGATCCTGTTGCACATGATCATACTGGCTATCAAGGGTAAAATTGTGGCCTATTTCTACACTTTTTCTGATACAAAATACAATACGAACAAAAATTGCGTAATATGAATATATTACGTGACTATGTGAGTTAATTGCAAAAAATTATGCTATACATAATTATGAACTAATATAATGAGCGATAAGATTTATAATCACTAAGTATCATGTTGATTATATCATAACTGTAATACATTTGTCAATTCCATATTGTTCCCAACCGAATTATTTTAATTGTTTACAATAAACTGGTGCAAATATCACTTATATTCAAGGCTCATGATGAAGAATTCGTAAATTGAATTATGAAAATAATAAAGTACTGAATGTAATACATAATCAGTGCAAATAATTCTATGTAAATAAATTAGTGGCAACTAACCCACGTATCCACCAGCACATTCAGTTTCATTGACATTAATCATGAATTTTTCAGATCCTGTTCGACGAGAATCTTCGTGCCATCGGAGTCCGATATATTCAAGATAATAAGGCGCGTTAAACAGTCTAGTCAAGAAAAGTACAAGAATCGGCGACAGGCCTATCCAGGCCTATTCTTTAATGCCGAAGATACTATACTATACTATACTACTACTATTAATGTACTCAATGCATCGAAGATGAAGTGCATTTTTACGCGTTTAATTTGGTGGATAAAAATGTAAGTTAAATGCCCATGCTGACTTGAAGCTTTTCTCCCACACGAGATCATAAAGCCTCTTACAAGATGTAGATTAGTTTCATGATGCTATGTGCTTTATGACAAACTCTCACGCGCGCTCCACATGACATGATAGACGACTGCACATCCATTTTTCCATTGATTTCAAAGTGTCTTTTACCATCATTATTGCGCCGCGTATGATTAAAAACGAATAAAATTTTTGCCGTAAATTTGAAATACCATTTTTAACAAAGAAAGCTTAGAATATAAATGTTTGGCAGTAGTAATACCAATTAATTCAGAAGTAATATCTTTAATGCCTTTAAAAATTAATGAGAATAAAAACATTAACCAAACACTGCACTTTCAGCGACCACAAATGCCGTGGCGATCATGATCGGCGAGCGGGCGGCGGACTAAATTCTAATTTAAGATTAAATTTAAGGAATAAAACTTATTAAGGAATTAATTTACGAGTTTACTGGCTAAGTGTAATTTTAAATGCGATGGCCATCATATTGAGCTCTTAGATAACAACCTTCCGTTCATCATTTTTCAAAACAAATGTCGGTTTATATTGATCATTATTTATTAATTTGATGCTAGCAATGTTGATGACAGACTCTCTCCCTGCCGGGCTGTGGAGGTCGTCAACAAGTGAACAGTCGGACTGCACACAAGTGAACAGTCGGACTGCACACATGCAACAAGTCAGCCGCTGGCACACGGACGCCCCAAGTTCTTATAGCAGTGTAATTTAGAAGCTCTATGTCCGCTTTAGGTTCCGGTTGCCGGAGCGAAATAAGCGCCGAAATAAAATCTTATGAAATTCCTGTCGAGCTTGGGGCGATCGTGAGGCGCGCGTATTTGGTACCTGATACGTTCGGGACAGACACGGCCGAATCTGAAAAATGCGTTAAAAAAATGCCACTATTTTTCCAACTCTCACGCTATTCAACACTCTACATGATGTGCTGCGAAAACACGCGCGTTGTACATGATGAGCTACGATAACACTCTTGTTAAACATGATGTGTTATGATAACACCCACGTCAAGTCTCAAGAAAAAACAGTCCTGCTAAGTATCAAGTCTCAACACTCATCATGAGTACCTATATTTGGGCTGACACTTTCGCTCATTATCAACTGAGACGGTAAAGTCAAGTATCCAAAGTTAATTAATACTTCGGCTAGAGTGTTAAAAGTATTAAGTTTCATATACGATGAGCACCAAATTTCGAGAAAACATTTAACATGTTTAGCATTTATTCCCAACATAACTCTCATGTTAACGATCGTGTGAAAAATAGTCTTATCAATTCAATTCACAATTTCTCGTAACGCTGCTTTATGTTTCCTTTATGAAGACATTTATTTATTCTATTTATCTATTCCAGCCCCTTCCCCCTCAATTTAGCCGAGAAGAACGCCAGAGCAAAATGTTGAGAGAAAAAATTTACTGATGTGCTTGAAGGCGCAGATGAAAAATATTTATTTGATATCAATCACTCCTTAATCTCAGTTCGCGTTTAATCCAAATCTCAATTTTACTCTCAGCTGCGCTTCGAGCTTGTTATGATTATCTCTGATTTTGTATAGAACTTCTTATGAATATAACAAAACTGTGCTACATTTCATTCGAAAAAACGACCCACACAAAAAACATGTTAATATAAAAACAGCTTTAACAATTATTAGGTCAGTAAACAATTTATTCACAATCCTGTTATTTAAGAAACCCGTTATCTCGAATCCTGTCTTCTTGAATCCTAATAATAATAATGAAGCTAATTATAGTTAATTGAAAAATACACATTCAAACCCGTAATAAAAATAGAAAACGGAATTACCAGTTGTCTCATTTAAAAATGTTATTATAGCTTCACGTTATTTTAAATTTAAGTCAGGAAATTCAATTATGAAATCAAATTAAAATTATTTTTCCAATCCCTGCCTCCCCGTTTTGCAACGCGTTCTGGAATATATTCCCAACGCATTCCCTGCCTTCCACGCACAATATATTTGCTGGTGCAGGAAATATCCCATTATATATTCAGGACCTTGATTCACAAGCACACACACAATAACAGACCTTTACATCCTCGAATAAAGTTTGCCACAGTGTATACGTATATTCACTAAAAATATAACTCGGTACTCACTGCAGTGAGTGACAGAGAGCGCATTTTGTCGTCAAAGAAAACGTGAAGTCACGGACGGACAGACAGACAGACAGACAGACGGACAGACATGGTGAGCACAATAGAGCATTTTTTCCATGAATGAGAATATGCGCAAAAAATTATGTAAAAAACAATACCTATCTCATAAAAGGTCACTGACCTAACATCCAGCTAAGGGAAGGTAGCTCCCTATATAAGAACTCTGCACTACAAGTGCAGGTCACCGCATAAGTTTTTTCACGCACCCCATAACTGATGACATGGAGAGGTTGCAGAAGCTGCCTTCGCACTGCCAACTGACGGACAGTTGTGGTCTGACCTGTCCCAGCGCTGCTAGTGTTCCCGTCTCTGTGGTGTTATGTATAAACTGTTCCCTTGTTGCGGCGCTACAAGTGTTCCCGTCTCTGTGGTGTTATGTATAAACTGTTCCCTTGTTTCGGCGCTGCAAGTGTTCCCGTCTCTGTCGTGTTATGAATAAACTGTTCCCTTGTTCCAGCGCTGCTATTGTTATCGTCTCTGAGATGTTATGTATAAACTGTTCCCTTGTTCCAGCGCTGCAAGTGTTCCCGTCTCTGTGGTGTTATGTATAAACTGTTCCCTTGTTGCGCCGCTGCAAGCGTCTCTGTAGTGTTATGTGTAAACTGTTCCCTTGTTCCAGCGCTGCAAGTGTTCCGTCTCTGTGGTGTTATGTATAAAATGTTCCCTTGTTCCAGCGCTGCAAGTGTTCCGTCTCTGTGGTGTTATGTATAAAATGTTCCCTTGCTCCAGCGCTGCAAGTGTTCCGTCTCTGTAGTGTTATGTGTAAACTGTTCCCTTGTTCCAGCGCTGCAAGTGTTCCGTCTCTGTCGTGTTATGTATAAACTGTCTTATTGTTCTAAACTGTTATGTATAATCTGTTTATTGATCCCATCAGTGTGACGCCATTTTGAACTGTTCCCTTGATTAATGAATTGATTTGTCCCTAACTGTTCCCAAGACGTGTTTTCATGAAGTGTTCCATGGAATTATTCCATATAAATGTTCTTAAAATCAAGTAAATAATATTCTTATAAAGAAACAACGATTGTATGCTATATTGCCATCACTCGGATGTGCTTCCCTCTTGAAATTGGAATCTCATTAAAAATTAAACTTCAATATGAGTTAAAGATCTAATTATGTGATTTACGCAAGTTGCTGGCATATTCCACGATTGTTGAGCATATCTGAAAGAAAATTTGCATTAACTGTTCATGGATTAGAGCATATTCGTGCAATCTTCTGTGCTTGGTAGGTACGTGTACTTTAACTGAGGAGTCACGGTAATTATTTTGGTACTCTGCTTAGCCGCCACGATTAAATTTTCCAGCCTAAGTAAGTCACCAATTAAATTCTTTGAATCATATATCATATTAAATTCAACTACGTGTCATGGAATCTTATTGACCTCATTCTTTATCACATTTATTTATTACATTGTAATTTATACCTGAGAAATTCAAATTTTATTGCACAATAGCGGCTGACAAAATTAACAATATATTACACGTGATTTACCGATCAAAAATATTCGAGAATAATGATGTTTTTAATGCCGGTATTGTGCCATGCTAGTAGAAATATCCTGGTCGGGAGGGACGCTTGTGTGCGCTGGAGTTATCGCCCGGTAGCGCTAAATGATGGCCCTAGGCTTATATTAGGCCTACCTAGCATTGCTGCAATCCTGGCATCCTCACTGATATCGCTGAAACTAAAGTGAACTTGTCCTAATTCTTTAAAAAAAATCCATGCCAGGAAATTATTAGTAAAAAAAGTCTTACCAGTCATGCTAAGAAGTCACGGCTATCATAAAACATCTGATAATCACAAACAATATGTTTGTAGAAATTTCACCTCACGGTCACACCATGAAGAATATCATTGGTATGTGGTATATGGTATATGGTATACGGTATACGGTATATGGTATATGGTATACGGTATATGGTATAAGGTATATGTTAAAAACTACTACCAGAGATCACCATGTCGCGTCACTTTTATATACGCTGGTCCCGACTCTTACACCTTACAGGGAAATTGCGTGTGTTCATTTCGATTAAAAAACGTTGAGAACGAGTTAATTGCGCAGAAACAAATTTGATTACGAAATGATTCCGTAGAAATAGTGTTGATTCCGAGGATCTCGTAGAAAAAACGTTGAAAACGAGTATATTTCGTCGCAACAACGTTGATTACGTGATGATTTTTTTAAAACAAGGTTGATTTCGAGTTGATTTCGTTGTAATAACGCTTAACCATCGATGTTTCAACATCGGATGCCTATATGGGGTGAGTGCTCGCTAGATCCCATGCCCTATAGAAGGTGGCCGAGTGGTTGCAGACGAGTTTTTCTAAGCAGGAAAAAACGATTGCACGTAAATTGGGAGATTCGTTATAATGTGGAGCACACAAATGAGGAAAAAGAGATGAACTGCGTTCACTTTATGTGTGGTAAAACGTGTGACCCTCTTGTAGCATATAGTGGGGCAGCGTTTATTCGAGACGATATGGCTTTATTTTATAATCATTTATAAGGCCACATGTGTTTAATACGATATAGCTACATTTGTTTGTATATGAAATTTGAGCATTTATATCCTACAGTTAATATTAGGGATAAAATCAGACGTTTGCTGTTGATAGGGCCATTACTGTTTCTATAATAATAAAAGTTTAGTTTTATGAAGGCAATTCCGTTTAGCCGTTTTAGTCAAGTAATTATTTAATATGAGCATTAAACAATCCATTTTTATTTTTCTTCTCTCATTCATAAAAATTGCGATTTTGTAAGAATACCTGGTAAATATTAAGTAACACAAAAAATAAAGAGGCAAATCGGAAGACATTCGAGCTCGCTAATACAAGAAGATTCACGATAACTTCCTGATCTGTATTTCGCTCCAAGCAACCAGATAATGTAGGAAAAAGGCGAAAATTATTTCAAATGAAAGGCAAGATCGTGAAGTTTTGTTTCCTGTTTAGTCAGTTGTTACTATGCATCGGACAAGTGAGCAGCGTGCGTTTACTGTCGAGACGTACTTTTCTAATGGCCGTTCTATAATCGCTACTTGACGAGCATTCTGTACTCGGTCCGTACTCGTCCTTCAGATAGGGTTCCTGATCGGAAATCGATTGCCACGTGGTTGAACACATTATCAGGCTCGGCGTGATTTTTTATGCGGCCATCTTAAATCAAATTTTAAATCAATAAACTTAAATCAATTAACTGTCCAAGGACACTTCCTCATTTGAAGAACAACATACGCCAAGCCATCGCCAACATACCCTACACATGCTTCCGCGAGATGTACGGAACTTCATAAATGGACTAACTGAATGCATTGACAATGGAGGCCGTCATTTGTCTGATATCATTTTCAAAACTAGTGATATTCGAATTATTCAGGTAATGTCTGTTACAATAAAATTTATATTATAATGATATATTTAATAGTTCTTTCTTTTAATTAAAATTTCAAACCAGGAAGTTTCCGTGAATCACCCTGTGAAAAAATACTATGTGAAAAAAATTACTTCGCATTTTATTGGTAAAATTAATCATACATTAACTGTAAACGATTGCTAAGGCGTGATATTTTTCAACTCACAGAAAAATAAACTCTGCCACCTCAATGTAACGTTTTGTTCGAAATCTGAAAATTCTCAAGGCTAGTGAACTTTCAGAATATAAAGCCTGGAAAATTTGAATCAACATATTGAATTCTTTGACAATTTTTTGTAAGAACTCAGGACCAGGATCGCAGATCATGCCTGATCTCCTGCAGCTGACAATCCACGCGATCTATACAGGGTTCCTCGCCTTCGTCTCGTCGACTCTCCTCCTTACAGACGTGCACTTCCACACCCAAACTGCCGACGACAACGAAGTGGTCGACTTCATCGTCGGTGAGTGGAGGGCGAGGGAAAATTGTGGAAAAGGTATTGATAGTAGAAGTAGAGGCGTTTACAGTGGTAAAAGAAGTAGTGACATTCGTAGTGGTTAAAGAAGTAGTGGCATTATCAGTGGTTAAAGAGGTAGTGGCATCAATCATGGTAGAAGAGCTAGTGGCCGTAACAGTGGTAGGAGGGGTAGTGGCATCTATGGTGGTAGAAGGGGTAGTGGCGTTGACAGTGGGAGAATAAGTAGTGGCATCCGTACAGTGGTATAGAAGAAGTAGAGGCATTAACAGTGATAGGAGAAGTGGTGACTCTCGTAGCGGTAGGAGAAATAGCGGCAGAAGAGCGACAGTAAAATGTAGTAACATTAAACAGTGGTAGAAGTAGGAGGAGTAGGTACGGTAGTATATGGAGCGATCAGGGTGCGATCAGGGTGGAAGTGATAGTAGTGGAAGCATTGGTAGTGGCATCAGTGGTTGCAGTTAGAGTAGTAGTTGTGGTAGTACAAGGGTAGATCAGGATGCATGGTGAAAATAATAATAATAGTAGTGGCATTAATAGTGATAAAAATGAAATTATTAGTTGTGGAAGAACATGGTAAGATCTTCGAGCATGGCGAGGCGGGTGAACTTGTAGTGACATTGGTAGGGTTGAACGTAAGAGTGGTGATTGCGAAAGTATATGGAGCGATTTTGGCTGCACGGTGAAAGTGGTGCAAAAAATAACGATGTGGTAACGAATAACGAGTATTTTAGAGTTTTTTCCCTCTCCCTTTTATTCGTATCTGTTGCTGACAAACGTCGCTGTATGTCAGCAACAGATCTGTTCCGTCACAGTTCAAGTAGTTTTTCGCTCCTTTTTTTAGTGACAGATGTACGAGTAAATTTTTTAAAATTAAGAAGACATGAAAGTGGTTGTAGAAGAAGAAATTTTGAATGAAATTGTTGTAAATTGTGTTGAGTTTTAGTTTCATGTTTTCAGGAGGATGAACTGTAAGATTATTAGTAAATTGGGCGTGGTGATGATATTAGTAGTATGGCAAGTTGCTGTGAAAAACTAGTTTGGAACCGGTGCGTCTAAAACCGGTGCGTCAATTCTGACTAGAATGAGTGCGTCATTCAGAATTGTATTTGGTTAAGTCACAAAACAACTTTCCTCACTGAGCATGATTGTGTGGTGGGGTTGAAAATCATCAGTGTTGTTGTACGGGAGGATGAAGGGTATCAGAGTAGGTAAACCGGACTTGAAATTTATCACAGTGGGTGTACTGGGCTTGAAATTTATCACAGTGGGTGTACTGGGCTTGAAATTTATCACAGTGGGTGTACTGGGCCTGTCTCTTATACACATCTAGATGTGTATAAGAGACAGGTGGGTGTACTGGGCTCGAAATTTATCACAGTGGGTGTACTGGGCTTGAAATTTCTCAAATGGGAGTACTGGGCTTGAAATTTATCACAATGGGTGTACTAGGCTTGAAATTTATCACAGTGGGTGTACTGGGCTTGAGATTTATCACAGTACGTGGGTGTACTGGGCTAGAAATTTATCACAGTGGGTGTACTGGGCTTGAAATTTATCACAGTGGGTGTACTGGGCTTGAAATTTATCACGGTGGGTGTACTGGGCCTGTCTCTTATACACATCTAGATGTGTATAAGAGACAGGTGGGTGTACTGGGCTCGAAATTTATCACAGTGGGTGTACTGGGCTTGAAATTTATCAAATGGGAGTACTGGGCTTGAAATTTATCACAGTGGGTGTACTTGGCTTGAAATTTATCACAGTGGGTGTACTGGGCTTGAAATTTATCACAGTGGGTGTACTGGGCTAGAAATTTATCGCAGTGGGTGTACTGGGCTTGAAGTACATTACGGTGAGTGCAGTGCAGTTAAAGGTCGTCACAGGGTTCACTGGTGTTTAATATCATCACAGTTAATGTGGTGTTGAATATCATCATAGTGGATATGCTGGATTTTAAGAGCACCACAAAGGCTTTACTGCTCCAGTAGGTTCTTAACGTCGTTTGATGAAACAACCATTGTAGTAACGAAATTCTTTACTACTCATCACAAATTGAGCGAGCACTGTGATGTAACGCGAGCTCAATGTGTGATGGAAGAAAAGTGAGCGGACTGACTGACGTCAGTTTTTGTATCCAAACAAATGATTTGGCGACAGATCTGTCGGGGAAGAGGTAAAAGCGTTAGTCGTGCAAGAGTTTATTAATCGTATAAATCGTATAATTGGTGAGTGTTGAGAGTAATAGACAATTAACTGCTACCATAAGTTCCTGCCCGCTGTGTGCAGTGGGCTCGGGATCTGCTGGCAGTCCAGTGGGCGGGCGGCTGTCAGAAAATCCTGCCTGGGACGTCCTGGTTTTGGAAGCTGGCAGTCCACCGCCCCTGGAGAGCTACGTGCCGGGTTATTCCAACTTTGGTTTGGTCTGGAGAAGCCCGTACAACTTCCACTACAAATCAACGCCGCAAAATTATTCTCATTTCGCCTTCCGTAACAGAGTGAGGCTTTTAAGATGAATAGCGTGTTTTACTTTCATTTGCGTTTTAATATACCAAGAAAAATTCTTAATTTTATTTCATGTTGCATGAAGTATATCGCGTTGTTGGCCCGTTGTATGAATATAATTTGTCATTGGGTACGAATAACGTCTAAAATCTTAAGATCTTGACACGGGAAGAGTCTCGACAAAAGATAACCAGTTTGGATATGAATGCGATTGTTTTTTGCCCAACTACTGTGGCTACTGTTGATGGTTTACGTTCATGATCATACAATGAATTATACATTCTACAAATTATGAAGTGATGTGGCTTAGGAAGTGCCGCTACACCGCGGCAAGGTGGTGGGGGGAAGCAGCACCATCAACTATATGCTCTTCAACCGCGGCAGCCGCCGGGACTTCGACCGCTGGGCGGCCCTAGGTAACCCGGGCTGGGACTACGAGACGGTCCTGCGCTACTACAAGAAGATGGAGGACTACAATGGCAACTTCTATAACGGTAGTGTAGTAGTGAAAATTTATTAATATAGTTTACTATTATTGCATATATTGTGCTTATTATTCTATAAGAACAATGCAGCTGTCATAAGTTCAAAGATGGTCCCACAACTCTCCCCTGCATGCCAATTTCAAAAGTGATCAACTGGAAATCGAGTAACAGAAGAATATAATTTTTTCATTGCAAAAACAAACATTCGTTGATGTATTGAAGTTATACATTAATAACTGTTATGGGGGGCTGGTAGAGCGCTACCACGGCATTGGAGGGCCGCTGAGCATCGAGAGCACCGAGTGGATCACCGCCGTGACGCCCGCCATATTCGCCGCCGCGGAGGAGCTCGGCCTCAAGAGGGTCGACTATAATGGCGAAACAAATATTGGCAAGATATTTTGCGCTATTATTTGGTGCTTTTTGATATTTTGTGTAACAAATTAGGTGCTTTTTTAAAAGAAATAACTAATTCTTCTAGTAAAAGTTACTGTGCAGCGTATCTTTTATTTCCGTCTAAACAGTATAACGCCTCATGTATATAAGGGGATACGTGAAAAAAATATAAATATTTTCAGTAAAAGTCTACATTCAGCTAACAAACTCTCAAATAAAATGTATAATTGGTATTATTACCGAATAAAAATGTCTATTGACATTGACCATTAACATATCTAATGCTTCACAGGCTTCAACGCCCCCGATGTGAACACTCGCAAGCGACAGCGCCACTCGTCGGCAGACGCGTTCCTCAAGCCAAACCTCCACCGCCCCAACCTGCGCTTACAAACAAACTCTCGGGTCATCAAGGTCGGCCTTCAAATTTCTAGAATTTAATTTGAATGAATAATTTTATGACTTATCCCTCTGGAACACAAATTTTGATACGAATAGAATTCTTAACAGCTGATTTATATGTTGCGAAGGGTTGATCTTTTGTCAATTAACTGTTACTTCGGAGACTGGATAGGAATAATATTGACGACACATTATGTAGTCATAAACAAAAGTCAAATGCTTTGTCAATTAACGGTAAGGCATGCTATTATGAGTTTTGGCATAAATAACATTGGGAATGATAATACAAACAAAATTTCTTTATATTAATATAGCAAGTGACTATATGCGTAATTTGCAAAAAATTATATTCTATATAATTATGAACTAATATAATAACCGATAAGATTTATAATTACTAAGTATCCATAACCGTAATACATTTGTCAATCTCATATTGTTCGTAAAATAATTATTTTAATTGATTACAATAAACTGGCGCAAATTTATTGATTATTCAAAATTCAAGATGAAGAATTCGTTAATGGAATTATGAAGATGATAAAGCACTAAATTTAATACATAATCTGAGCAAATAATTCTATGTAAATGATTAGTGGCAACTAATGCACGTATCCACCAGGATATTCAGCTTCATTGACATTAATCATGAATTTTTCAGATCCTGTTCGACGAGAATCTTCGTGCCATCGGAGTCCGATATATTCAAGATAATAAGGCGCGTTAATATACTAAATAAATTAATTTATTATTATCTAATATGCAATTGAAAACTTATTACTCATTGAAACAAATGAGACATTTATCGAATAGCGATGCACTGCTTGCCATTGTGTGGGTCACTCTGACCAACTAAATATGGCTCGACAAAGGCACAAAGGAGCGAAAAGCACAAAAAATAGAGAACAAAAACAAAATATTTTCCCAGAATGACCCAATAATTTTGATGAGTGCAGGTGAAGCGAGTGTACGCGCGTAAGGAGATCGTCCTCAGCGCCGGGGCCTTCGACAGCCCCAAACTCCTCATGCTGTCTGGGGTGGGGCCACGGGCCCATCTCGAGGCCGTGGGGGTACGTGGGATAAGTGGCCTGGGGTACGTGGGATAAGTGGCCACGGGCCCATCTCGAGGCCCTGGGGGTACGTGGGATAAGTGGCTCGGGGTACGTGGGATAAGTGGCTCGGGGTACGTGGGATAAGTGGCTCGGGGTTCGTGGGATAAGTGGCTCGGGGTACGTTGGATAAGTGGCTCGGAGTACGCGAGATGTAAGCTTCGAGGCGCGAGAATACATACACGAGGTACATGGTAGGCTAACTTCTCATAAGCACACGTACTCGCCGCCGTAACACGCACGATTACTTCCTTCGAGTGAGCTTGACGATAAAAAAAAGGGGGTCAGGCATGTCAACAGCCAATATTTTTCAGTAAAATATAATAACAATAATGGTCAATGTATAAATAGCACACTAAATGCACTGCAGAAAAAGGTTTGCAAAATGTTGATCTCATGTTTGCAAAATATTGATCGCATGTTTGCAAAATGTTGACCGCATACGTGGGATAAGTGGCTCAGGGTAAGCGGGATGAGTGGCTCGGGGTACGTGAGATAAGTGGCTCGGAGTACATGGGATAAGTGGCTCGGGGCACGCGGGATGTAAGCGTAGAGGTACGAGAGTACATGCATCCTCTACAGGTACATGGTAGGCTAACTTCTCATAAGCACACGCACCGGCCACCGTAACACGCATGATTACTTTCTTCGAGTGGACTGGATGATAAAAAAATATAACTCAGTACTCACTGAAGTGAGTGACAGAGAGCGTATTTTCTCATCGACGAAAACGTGCGGGTGGACAGACAGACAGACAGACGGACGGACGGACATGGCGAGCACAATAGTGCATTTTTTCCACAAATGAGAAAATGCGCTAAAAAGGTGGTCAGGCATGTCAGCAGCCAATATTTTTTAGTAAAATATAATAACATCAATGGTAAATGTACAAATAGGGTACACTTAATGCACTGCAGAAAAAGGTTTGCAAAATATTGATCGCACGTTGCAAAAATGTTAATGAATGTTCGCCAGATCCGCTGTCTGGTTGACTTGCCAGGCGTGGGTCAGAACCACCAGGATCACCTCAGGATCTACGGACTCTCTTGGACCTTCGACGCCGGAGACTCGCGCGTCTTGGAACACTTCGGCCGCACACAGAGCCAACTGTACAGGAAATTCAGGAATGGTTCGTCATGCGTGAATTAATTATGCTAAAATTTTGTTGTTCTTTGGATGTGATAGCAGTTTGAATGAACACACCTTTGGCTACGCTTGAAATATAATGGAATGTGGGAACGAAATCAATTCACTTAATTTTTTTTTCGTTGTGTTATAAATTTGAATTAACACATCCTTTGAAACACGTCATTTATGCCGTAAAATTGAATGAGTTCAGAACTGTTCGTTATGCACAAACTCCTTCTAGTCACTTTTTCTTTCGTTACAAAAAATTAAACAAACCCAAATTTTCGAGGAAGAGAACAAACAATTCAGGAACACCAATATAAATTAATTTGTTTAGGAACGATTATTCTGGTACCTACTAAATTTTGAACCAAGGACTATATATATAAAAAAATTACTTAAAAATGGCACATGAAAATGGCTATGAAGATTTACTGGCTTGTACAGGATCGCTGGCCGCCCCCGCAGCGACCGTAGGCCACTTGTACGTCAACTTGGACGGACCCAGTGACCCCACGACGCCAGACGTACAGTTCCTAGTGGCGCCGGCGCTGCTGAGCGGTGACCGTGGCTTCATCACCCCTGCTGCCTTCAACCTCGATCCGCAGGCATTGAACCAACATATGACAGATATTATTATGTTTAATATGAACATTAATTCATAATAAAACTTAAAATAATATATATTATTTTGCATTAACAACTTTCATCTGACGACGAAAACACATAAATTAGATATTGTTGTTGTTGTTGTTTATTAACTAATTAATTTTGTGCACAATTTAATCACTCACGGGCGGAACAGCAGATGAATTCAAATCGTCAAAATTCAGCCTCAACCTACAGCGTTTGAATTAAACTTAGAAAGAAATTCAACTTCGTATTAATTATTATACTCCCCTGGCGCAGGTATATAGAGAGTTTTTTGGTCCAGACGAGGGGAAAGAGGGCTTCACGATCTTTCCTCTAGCGAACAGCTGCAAGAGCCGAGGGTACGTTGCCCTCAGGTCCAGCAACCCCTTAGACGACCCCATCATCGACCCCAAGTTTTTGAGTCACCCAGATGACGTGGAGTTCCTCGTCAAAAGTGAGGAATTTATTTATCAGTTACAATACAATTTGAATGTAAAGAAATTGCTGAACATAGAAAAAGACCAAACACACAAACGTATCTAAGAAATTAACGTTTAATAATATATATACAAAAATGAGGCAATCCAACCCGTAAAGAAATCGTTGGTTAATTAAATACGGCTAATACATATAAGAAGCTCACTTACAAAAGTTTAAGTATCGTGTTAATAATCAACTTAATTTAATGATAAAAGTAGAATGGGTACAGTATCACCTAAAAGAGCATACAGAAAAATTTAAATAATCTTTTGTCAAAATAGTTACCTAAACACGTGTTTGGCGTGTTTTAATATGCTGTGATTTAATTATATCATGATGAAGAAATCTGCCCATTGAGGAAAAAGTCAAACTCTAAAACAAGTTAATCATCAATAAATTACGCAGTTTTGAAAATCAGGTATTTTGACCAAAATTCCGAGCAATAAAATTAGGTAACATTGCACAAATAGTGAAAAACGGAACGGACTGCTCACCATCCGGTAATCCAAATGAGTGAAGATTAATTGGACAACTGATAAATATGTCAATGAATTGCAACGTAATAAATCACTGTGAAATATTTGACAGCCTACTCAATCAATTACACTTTAATTAATAGTTATAAAACTTATCTAAGAAGAATAACGTTGCGCCGGAAATGCATCACCATAAAATTTCTTATTAAATTAATTTAAATAATTTATTGAGAGGTATAACAATTCCGACAGATTATGTCCATAAAATATTCGAGAACGCATTTAGTTACACGTCAACTAATAATGAATTACCATGTAATAACAAATTACCATGTCTAATAATGAATTACCATGTCTAATAATGCATTACCATGTCTAAAAATGCATTACCATGTCTAGTAATGCATTACCATGTCTAATAATGAAGCCTCCCCGATTACATTGTTGGCGTTCCAAGTATGAATGCGTTCCAGAACAGACTAGATAAAGCTATGGAAAAATATATGTTCAGACTTGAAATGCCTAGCACCATATCGAACCCAGTGGAAGTCTATATATATATATAGTAGCTATTTAAACTATCGTCAGTCATGAAAAGATCTGGTCAAATGATACGATTTTAAGTCTTCAGTGAACAAGTCACGAAAAGTACAGGAATCGGCGACTTGTCACATCAGACCTATTCTCCAGCGCCGGCATCACTATGATATTATACGATATATGAAATAATTTGATATGATGTGATATAATATCATATGATATTATATATAATATTTAAATGCCCTATAAGATAATTTACACGCAACTCATGCATTAAGGGGAACGGCTCGGTGAAAAATCAAAATTTTGTTTTTTCGTTTCTTGGCTCATTTCGTAGCTGTTGAAAAGACGCATCTAAACGCAACAAACCGCATGTATGTGCGTGCTTTAGTTTTTGCGTCAAATAATTTAACAAATATATAGAATGAACAATTTTTAACAATATGTGCAAAGATTTCTTCGAAATAAATCTGTATATTTAGAAACTTATTCTCGTTAATTTAAAAGTTTTTGCCACTCATTTGAAAGCTACAAACGAGACGCGTTCAACAAAGCTACTACCATGGATGCACATGCAATAATTGTTGCGTGATGCAGTTTTAAACTTTTAGAAAATGACCATTTTATAAAAGTTATTATAAAATATTATAACATTATATTATATTATAATTATAACAATATTTCCAAATTTTCATTTAAAATGGTATTTATGGATCATTATTTGCGTTAATTGCAAAGTGTTTGCTCTCGCTTAGAAGCTTTAAACGATGTGCGTTCAAAAAAGTAAATATCACGGATTTATATGCAATAATTTTTGCGTAATGCAGTTTTGAACTTAAGTAAAATGAATATTGTAAATATAAATATATATAATAAAGTCCCACTTATACCTTATTATTCACGTTAAACTGGACAAGAATAAGTCTGAAGACGCGTGCTGGTACCTTAAATGCATATAATTAAAGATTGCCTCTCACCAAAGATTGACCTATAAGATAATTTACACGCAACTCATGCATTAAGGGGAACGGCTCGGTGAAAAATCGAAAATTTTGGTTTTTCCGTTTTCTTGGCTCAGTTCGTAGCTGTCGAGAAGACGCATCTGAACGCAACAAACCGCATGTATGTGCGTGCTCTAGTTTTTGTGTAAAGTAATTTTAAAAATATTTAGAATAACATTTTTTAACAATATGTGCAAAGATTTTTTCGAAATAAATCTGTATATTTAGAAACTTATTTTTGCGTAATTCAGTTTTAAACTTTTATAAAATGACCATTTTATAAAAGTTATTATAAAATATTATAACATTATATTATAATTATAACAATATTTCAAAATTTTCATTTAAAAATTGTATTTATGGATCATTATTTGCGTTAATTGCAAAGTGTTTGCACTCGTTTGAAAGCTTTAAACGATCAAAAAAACGAATATCACGGTTTTACATGCAATAATTTTTGCGTAATGCGGTTTTGAACTTAAATAAAATGAATATTTTATATTTAAATAAATATAATAAAGTCCCACTTATACCTTATTATTCACATTAAACTGGACATGAATAAGTCTGAAGACGCGTGCTGGTACCCTTAATACAAATAATTGGCAACGGGGAAGCTTGGGCTACATGCAATATCAAAAAAATTTCTGGCATATTCTTCAAATTTTACTTTATTTGGCTCCCCTGAACAATTTTAATATAAAAAAAACATCTTAAAACTTTATGACTCCTACAGTATTCAAGCTACAGCATTGAAAGTCACATCATTCGATTTGTAAAAACCATATCTAGCGACTCTAACAGTCCTTTTTTGTATTTATGCATGGTTTGCCTTATATATGGGGAGGAGGGGGGGTTGGGGGCTGGAAAATGTGGAAAAATGAAATAAACGCGCATAAAATAAAAACTATGAGGAAAATTCAAAATCGTGGCTCTAGAGCCGCTAGATAATTTTGTTACAAATCGAATGAAATGTGTCTCGACATTTTAGCGTGTGATTTGCAAAAGTTTCAAATTTTTTAATACCCCCATTTTTACCGTTTTCTAATAATTTAACGTTTTCTTTCATTTTTTTTAATTCATACTAGCAAATTGTTTTTTATTTTACCTTTTACGTACGTGTGTAAAATTTCATAAAGATCGGTTGATATAAGTAGAAGTTTTTCTGGGACCGAGATGGTCCCTTAATGAAGGTATTTTTTCTCCGTTGGTTGCTATAACATTTATTTGCCATGGACGCTAAGCCACATATCGATATTACATTCCTATACGTGATATACTATCTAAACAGTACGATCAGGCTTGAGAATTTAAATTCATATTTACTGATGACTTTGTTTTCTTTTTTTACAAAAACTTTTCTTATTTATAGACGCGTTCTTTTATTCACTTGATTTATTATTGGTGCCTTTATTTACTTTCTTCCAGGTATCTTTGTTTAGTTCTAGAACGCCTCAATTCATCATTCAATTACTTTTCCCTTTTAATTCATCACTGGCTCATTTACTGTATATATTAATTATTTACTTTTTCTATTTTACTCATTGATGGCTCCTTAATTATTAAAATTACTTTTTACATTGTATTCATCACCGCCTTCTTTACTAATTAATCATGAACATGTTCTATTTAATTCATTACTGGCTATATTTTATTAATTAATTACTTTTCTATTTAAATCGCAACTGGCTCCTTTACCTATTAATATTTTACTTTTTTTCTTTTAAATTAATTGCTGGCATCTTTATTTATTAATTGCATTTTCTATTTCATTCATTACTACCTCCCTTATTTATTATTCAATTTTTTATTTTATTCATTACTGCTATTTTTTTACTAATTAATTACCTCTCCCATCTAATTCATCAGTGGCTCCTTTATTTATTATTTATTTAATTTATTATATTTAATTCATGGTTGCGTAATTTATTTATTAATTAATTACTCTGTGCCAGAGTGCGCGGTGTCAAAGGCCTGCGCGTCATCGACGCCTCCATCATGCCACTCATCACCACAGGTAAGCATCATGCCACTCATCACCACAGGTAAGCATCATGCCACTCATCACCACAGGTAAGTATCATGCCCACAATTATTAAGTTAATGACAAATGCATTTAAGAAGTGCTATCTTTTGGTTCATTGTCGTAGCATAACATGGCTAAGGACTGTAGGTCTCAGAATGAATCGTGAATTTTGTTATTGATCGCGTTATTTTCGATGAATATTTGTTGAATATTTTTCTTAAGTTTACATTCGATTAGCAAACTAATATCAGAGTTATACTAAGGCAGCGAAAACTTCGAGAAAATTCAAGAAAATTGTTTAGCTGCTCAACGGAACTCGCTAATTGTCGGCTAAAAATTTATACACTCCAAAAATATTAATTTCTCATAAGAAAAAATTTTCAAGAAGCTATCTGTTTTTCGATTAAATTTTGTAAGAGCAACAGATTATTGATTTACAAAACTTGTGCTTGTGCAGGAAACACAAACGCTCCAACTATCATGATCGGGGAACGAGGAGCCGACTTCATAAAGGAGGAACACGGCTTTTTCCAGTAGTGCAAATTTTTACTACTGGGTGGGATTTCATTTATTCGTTTGTAGGGTCAAATTTATCTTATGATATTTTGGTAGTCTATATTATTTATTTGTGAGCTCAAAGTTTTCGAGTGCAGCGCGCTTTTGTAGCTAGTTTACCATCCGTAGCTCTTATTTCGTGTCGGAATAGATTTTCACAATGGCAAAATTTGCAATGTTGCAAGCGACAATAATAACTTCGATGGTTAACTTTTGGGAAGCTTGAAATTTGATTGAAATAAAGAAAATAACTAGTGGAAATCAGTTGTGTATCCTCGATGACTGACTAATTTTAATATCAAGATCTTTTAGAGTCAGATCAAAGCAGAAGAGTTTAACTTGTTGTGAGCAGCGGAATTGTTAATTAACCGAGGTCGGATGGATCCTGCAAAGCAATTCAAGCTTCAGCAACTGGGTTTGCACTACAGTATTTGTACTACGGTATTAGCACTACGGTATTTGCACGGCTGGATTTTCACATTTTCACCAGAGGAGGTGTAGGATTTCGTTTTCACTTCTACTCCAAAACGCATATTTTGGTCCCCAGCAAACAGCAAGAAAATCTTCAAGTGAATCTGATAATGAGACGGAAAACGCACCTGCCGGCGTTCCAACTATGAGCTTTAAGCTTAAGCTCTCAATTACAGTCTTAACCGCGATAAGTAAAAGCTTGTATACAAACTGTTCCTTAATGTTGGTGCTAAAGATTGTTTACTGAAGACAATTTTATCATACTCAAACCTGAGAGTTTACTGTAAACCAACGTTGCGCGCTCTCAAGGTAACTCTGCATGAAGAACAATACAATAAATGATTTTTTATTGAACATATATGTTTTACTAACACAGAGATATCCTGCAGACTTTATCCGCTAAGACATCAGCCTGACTGCTTAAAAATAAGTTCATTGAAGCAAAGAAATTAAAAAACGGGATAACACATGGAGGCACGGGACAACAGATGGAGGCACGGGACAACAGATGGAAGCACGTGACAACAGGATGGAGGCACGGGACAACAGATAGAAGCACGTGACAACAGATGGAGGCACGGGACAACAAATGGATGCAAAAGAAGGATGTTCAAATCTACCAATTTATTTAAGTATTGACAATTTAGTGGAGGTTGCAACATGAACAAGACATGACCTATACAAATATTTCAGTAAGCAGTTGCGTTCATCACAATTGGCAAAGATGCTATGATTCATCACAATTAAATCATGACATTGAAGGTCATTGTTCACAGAACAAAGCAATCTTACTAAATCGTTTATTTGTCATCACATGAAGACATCACATGGAGACATCACATGGAGACATCACATGGAGACATCACATGGAGACATCACATGGAGACATCACATGGAGACATCGCATGGTCATAACAAAGGTATGGTGATGAGCCAGTCCTGCTTGATGATGTCGGCCGCCTTCTCCCCTATCATGATGGCGGCGGCGTTGGTGTTGCCCGCCACAATCACGGGCATGATGCTGGCGTCCGCCACACGCAGTCCTGACACGCCACGCACTCTGGGGGCGCGTATGATACGTTTTAATACATGTTAAAACTTAATAACACTCTGGACCCGTGTGTAATGAAAGTGCATTAATGTATGATGCATCTCAATAACACTCTGGTGCGCGTGTAATGAAAATGTGTTTTAATACATAATAAATATCAATAACACTCTGGAACGAGTGTGTAACGGAAGTATTTCAACAGGTACGAGAGAGAATTGCTAACTCAGACAAGAGGGAGGGCCAGATCGCTAAAGAGTTTTAAACAAATAACATGCAGCGGTTGTGTCCTGAAGCTGGGGGTAGGAATTAGTATGTTATATACAAGGTACGTTGCAAAAGATGCGTTGAATGTCGAGTGCTAACGAAGTAATAATTATAATTTTTTTTCAATATGACTAAATGTACTTAAATCTATCGATTACAGAAATCTAGATTACAGAATCTAGAGACCACTCACTTGAGGCAGTATTTGCCGTACTAGAGACCACTCACTAGATGCAGGATTAGCCGTACCTGAGAGCGTGGTCAACCACACCCATGGGGTCAGAGGCGGGCGCCATCTTGCAGGTACCCACGGGGTGGTAGACGGTAGATACCATGTGGCGTGCGAAGCAGGCCCAGTAGTGGTCGGAACCATACGCCTCAGCCTCACAGCCTGGTAGCACCTGGTGTAGTAGTGCCGTGCAGTTAAATGGAATTAATTAGGAGATGAGGTTGACTCATAGTGAAGGAAGTTGGTAAAAGGGTCAATTTATAGAAGGAAAACCTTGCAACCGGTTGAAATTATTTATATAAAGTAATTACAGCAAACTAATTAGTAAGTCCTAGGTAAACGGGTAGGAAAAGTCAGCAGATTGAGATGCAATTTGCTGAGAAAATCGTTACGTTAACTCGAAAAAACCGCAGGTTTAGCGCATGTTTCCATCCAAGATCGCCTGCACCACCACACACCACACCATCACACACCACCCATTAGACCACATACCCACCAGCAACCCTCACCATCACACACCACACCACCACATCACCACCCACCACCCACCATCACACACCACCACACACCACCACCACACACCACCACCACACACCACCACCCACCATGTCGTGGAACTTGGCTCCAAGTCCCTGCTTGAACGCCGTCGTGTTTCCCACCGCCAACGCCAACTTTATTCCTGTCACAAGCACATAATATTAGTTAAATGTTTCTTTCACAAACCAAAATAGTCTTTAAGGTGGATAATTATTTACTTCAAAACTTAAATGTACTGTAGTATCGTCCACCAAGTCGATAAGTTTCATTATCATGAGAAATAACATTTACAAGGTATCTTGATGTAGTCAATCGAGACCGACACTAGGCATGTCGATGAAAAACCACACCATGTCAATATATTGCTAATGGAATGTAGCGGAAGAAAAAGAATTTTATTGGTAGGAAGAATTATATAGGTTCATGTCTTCATATTTATGGTTTTTAATTAGTGTCTATACTTATTTGATGAAGGGTCTCAGTTCAGATTCTTTTCGAAAAACCACGTTTCGATCTGTAGTTAATTTATCTTTATGTTCCATTCTTTTGTCCTCAATTATTTTTCCTTCCGTTTCAAATATCAAAATTTCATGACTTATTAATTCAGCATTATCGATAATAAGGAGTTGCATCAGAATTATTCGAGCTGATAGCGGTTATCTTCGAGTCAACATGAGCTCTGTTTCCACTTACCCTTAACAAGAATCTCGACGTCTTCGGGGTGACTGAGGTAGTTAGGGTCTATCACAGGATGATGTTTAGGGTCTGCAGACCGAAGGGTGATAGACCCACGGCTCCTAGGTACAGTCACGTACGGGCCCATGTTGATTCCTTCTTGGCCCGCCAGGGGTCCAAAATATCGTCGACTGAACTGCCACAGAAAAAATTAAACGAAAGTAAAGTTAAGATATGTTGATAAAAATGAGAGAACGAATGAATATAACTTCTGCTTTAGGGTACGTCTGTGAGCGAATACACTCACCTATTATTTTAGTCGAGCAAGAGAGTCACTGCACTCACCTCGTTATAGTAACCGAGCAAGACAGAGTCACTGCTCTCACCTTGTTATCGTAACCGAGCAAGAAAGAGTCACTTCACTCACCTCCTTATCGTAACCGAGCAAGAAAGAGTCACTTCACTCACCTCCTTATCGTAACCGAGTAAAAAAGTCACTGCACTCTCCTCCTCATCGTAGCCGAGCAAGTCGAGCAAAAAAGAGTCACTGCACTCACCTAGTTATCGTTCTCGAGCAAGAAAGAATCACTGCATTCACCTAATTATCGTAACCGAGCAAGAAAGACTCACTGCACTCACCTCCCTATCGTAACTGGGCAAAAAAGAGTCACCGCACTCACCTCCTTATCGTAACCGAGCGTATCACTGATAAGCAAGCCGCTATCGAGGGCAGGGGTGATCGAGACGATAACGAGCTGAGCGTCCGGCCATTCGGGGTCGTTCTTGTAGCCAAAACTGAACCACGCGTTGCCTTCTGGGCCGAAGGGAGAAGTCAGGGGGCCTGCCGGATCAGGGAGAGTATTAAGCATAAGTCATACATCCTATATCAGGATAATTCTTTCTACTGTGAATCTATGTAAGTTTTCTAGTCCGTGCATTTGGTACACATATATAGCCACTTCTACCTATGACACTGATTGACCACTTCTCATTACGGAAAATTTTTCATCTGTGCATCTTTTCAGAATTTCCGTGAAATTACCAATAGCTCTTCTATCTGAAAAAAACGCGGTAATAGAATGATATAACAAACAGAGCTCGAGTGAAAGTAAAAGCTAAAGGATTAATGTAAGCCTGTGTTACAAGGAAAATCATTAAATAGACAGAACGGTCTGTCAATGAGGTAAACTTTAGGTCCAAGATAGCTGATTTCAAATTAGTTGTATTGAACGCTGATGTTGAAGTTGTTGACGTTTCCAACATTTACAGAATTGCTCATGGATGACTACTGCGTAGATATATATAGGGCATCAGCAGATCAGATCAAGAACGAAAGGCCACCAAAGATCAAGTTCATACAGACAACAGAGATCAGGAACGAAAAGTACACCGAGATTAAAGACAAATAACCAACAGAGATGAAGAATGAAAAGACAACAGATATGAAAGTAAAAAGCCAACAGAGACGAAGAACGAAAAGCCAACAGAGAACAAAACGCCAACAAAGTAGAAAAAAATCCAACAGAGATGAAGGGCGAAAAGCCGACAGAGACCAGCAATGAAAAGCCAATAGATATGTTGAACGAAAGACAAATGAGATGAAGAAGTAAAATCCAACAACGAAAATAAATATTTAGGTAAACAGAAACTAACGATCAATACCGTACCGAGCAACCGTACTTGAGAGGTTGAATGTTCGGCACAACATCCCGTGCACAACAACGACCAAGTATAACCATCGTGAACCAATTTCGTATAACAGGAGACGCACACAACAAAGTCTCTCTCTGACAAATAATCTACAAAAATCCGGTAAAAGTTCGTAACTTTTAAAAAATCAGTTAAAAATATGTCACCTTGGCGATGGTACGCGAACTTAGTGGCAGCAGCCATGCTGAGATGTCGCCCAAAAGTCGTCGCTCGACCAGGGTCGACCGTCCAGGTGAGGCCGAAGATACCAGGATGGTCCTGCAGATTCTGGCCGACCCCGGGCACGTGGGCCACCACTGGAATCTGGTGCATTGGGTTAGCATAGCCAAAAATGAGAAGTTAAAATTAATAAATATTTTAAGTTTGCCAAGGAAAGTTTAATCAGCGTAAGTATCTAAAATATAGCAAATAACAAATTATGTAAAAATTCCTGAAGATAAGGGCAAAGTCATAGTCTGATAATTGCTAGCCGACTTGATCCAATTAATCTACGAGACAATGCGTGAAGCAATCAGCAGACTGGCAGGTCTGGCCAAGATACACGAAACAGTCAGCAGGCTGGCAGACCGGCAGACTGGCAGGTTGACAGACTGACAGAATGACAGACTGACAGAAGAGGCGCACCCGGAACTGACGAAGATGTTTCTTGTCGCCGACGCCGGACAGCAGGAGGAGGTGAGGGGAGCCGATGGCCCCCGCGCTCAGCACGACCTCGCGCCGCACCCGCGCCAGGTGTTGCTGGGACAACCTCATATATAATCAACTTATAAATGTATAATATATTATTGCGATGATGTAGTATATCATTATTATATGTTATTTAGTATTATTTAGTAGGATATTTTAATATATAATATAATCAATTTTACACCATGTCTACATGCAGTGTACCCGGCCATTCTTCATGTAGTGGACCCCGACTGCACGCTTATCGTGGTTGAATAAAACCTGCAAAAAAACATCCATTTAATATCGATTATTTTAATGTTAGCCCGTTTATGTTAAGTGTGTTGATGTTGCCAAGTAAATGTTAATTAATTTATTGCTACCGGGTAAATGAATTGTAAATAAAAAAATTTTCGAAGCACTACAAAATATTTATCAAAATTTAGAGTTTTTTAAGGCAAGAAATAATCTTGTATCGAATAGAGCAAATAATTTGGAATAAATTAGAACAGTAGTTCTCGAGAAACTGCGGAACCAAGGGATGAATTAGAAAGCTCGCCGTCAAAATTGATTGAATTGCTCGTTCTGGCCACAATGTATACATGTGTTAATTTTTGTCCTACAATAAACTACTTACAATACAATACAATTACTTACAATAAATTACTTGTGTTCTAGTCTCACAATAAGAATAAACAAAACTAATACTGACTGATACAGTTCTTACTGTATTTTTTTATTTCACGAGATTGATCATACCCAAATATTTTTCGAGTTCGAAATTGATATTCTTTACAGTACGTATGGCAATTTATGTTGGAATATACAATCTTTCAAAACTTATCTTGCATACAAAGTTTGGTTAATATTTAGAAAATTAACTGCCAGCTAACATGGTTGACTCACTTGGTGACGTGCGCCATATGGCAACGCCTCACCTTGGTGAAGCTACGTTCGTTTTATACTTGTGTTGTTGGTAAAAAAATTGCGTCACTACTATGAAAATTTATAACATGGTCATAACCGATCTTTTTTTCTGCTTCATGGTTTGCCACCACTTTAGTGTCGTCTGTTATCCGCTATTAATGTTTTCGATGTGGGCTGGAATATAAGAAAACGTAAACCTAAAAAAATTCTTTAAAAATGGAAAAACTTAGTTTGATTTTAATTAATTTATTAATTTTCGCACCAATTTGTGTGAAGGCGTTGGGGTCGATGGTGGGGAAGCCGAGCTCCTTCCCCGCCTTGAGGAAGGCCTTCATTACGTCCGTCCCCCACGCCTTCCCCTCCACCACCACGGGGCCTGAGTACCCGTGGTACGGGGCTGTCATGAAGGAAGAGGGTTTAGAAGGGTGGGTGACTCGTATGGGGAAGAGGGGGACAAAGGGTAACAATAAACGCTGGCTGAGAAGAAAATCTTGCACATGTCGTTTTCAATTTAGCGCATTTTCTCATTTATGGAAAATGCGCTATTATGCTCGTCATGTCCGTCAGTCCGTGACGGACGGCCGGACGTGAGAAAATGCGCTCTCTGTTACTCGCTGAAGTGAGTACGATCTAATTTTTTCAATTGCAGAAGCCACTTGTCAAGTGTCGTATTAAATTTACTATAAAATTCAGATAATTTAGACGGCAAAAGAAAGCCCTCACCCGTGAGGTTGGTCACTTCGCCCCTGTACGTCTCGAGCTTCTTGAAGTATGGCAGGACGGAGTCGTAGTCCCAGCCCGGGTTGCCGAGGGCCGCCCAGCGGTCGAAGTCCCGGCGGTTGCCCCGGACGTGCATCAAAAAGTTTACGGCGGAGGAACCTCCCACCGTCCGGCCTCGAGGAATTGGTATTTGCTGAGTGCAAATAAATTCATGAAAATCTCGTTAAAAAAATTATGGAATATAGAGTATTTTGGTTCTTCGTGTTGGAAGCTGGTGAGACACTAAAGTTGGATTGATTGGATGACGTTCATCCACTTTATTTATAGATGGAGGAAATAGATTTTATGTTTATAGATGGAGGTTAATGAAGGTGAGGAAAGTTTGCTAAAGTTCGAGAAAGGTAGATAAAGAAATAGATGGTAGCAACACCAGTAGATTCAACATATAGATGGAGGTTAATGTAGGTGAAGACAGTTTGCTGAAGTTCGAGAAAGGTAGATAAAGAAATAGATGGTAGCAACACCAGTAGATTCAACATATAGATGGAGGTTAATGTAGGTGAAGACAGTTTGCTGAAGTTCGAGAAAGGTAGATAAAGAAATATACTAAACAGCTTTAGCGATATTCAAAAGGTAAAAAAATGCCAATGAGAATATTTCGCACAAAAATTTTTATTTGACCTTACTGAAATTTTATGGAATCACTACACCTAAAAGTTTTAAATCAAATTACTGTCGACGAAATTTTCAAAAAATGTTCGCTAAAAAGCAACCGTCGAGGCAGAGTTGCCCAAATCATCTCACATGTCCAGCGTAGTTCTTGCATGCGTGTTTCTGCGGTTCGGATTTATAGCCCCACATGGGCTGGACCCCGTGCAGGATGACGAAGGGGTTGTAGCCGGGGACCATCGCTTCGGGGGGCGTCGTGCCCCCGGACTCCAGCAGCAGGACGCTCCAGCCCCGCACTTCGCAGAGACGCGCCGCCACGGCGCTGCCCGCAGACCCCGACCCCACTGGGGGTACAAGATCGCTGATTAGTCGGAACTAGTCGACCCCGATCCGGTTGTCGCAGAAAACAATTATATCCACCAGTTGCTACCTAACAGAACCACTGGGTAAGAGAACAATAGAGACAAGATCGCGTATTAGTCAAATCAAGTCGATGCCAATCCGTGTGCCGCAAAAAAATTATATCCACCAGTTGCTATCTAACTGAACCACTGGGAAAGAGAACACTAGAGACAAGATCGTGGATTATTTAAATTCAAAAGTACCCAATACGGGTGTCGGTGAAACACAATTATTCATTTCCACCACTCCTACTCAATTGAGGGGAAAATATTTGGGGTTAATTTAATCCAGTCGACCTGAATTCCACTTTAGGTGGAAGAAAATATTAATTTACTGAGTTTCCGAACCTAAATTTCTCGATATATTCTATTCTATTCTATTCTATATCATGCCTCTATATATCAACCTAGATACATGAATAACTCAAGGGCTTTCACTGAAGAAGGTGCCAATATTCAATCGTGCTTACATTTTTGTTCTGCAAGCCCGCCAAGCCGCAACGTCAAAATTAATTACCCCGCATGTGAGCCCTCGGCAAACCGGCCGTGGCTGCCACCCACTCGAAAGTATCATGACATAATCAATCTCTATAGGTCAGCGCCTGCCTTATTATTATTGCAGGTGATATATTACGCTACGGTCACTTGAAGCAAAACATTTGAAGCGCGGCCGCAACTGGCATTTTCCATCATCTGAACGAGCGTCAATTTCGCTTTCGTTGTGACGCCAAGCGATCCGAGTGCGGCTAGTGATGTTATTGCTAGACTTTCACTAGCTATAATGTTCCCTAAGAACTTCCGCTAAGCTTAGGCTGTAATACGAGGCCACGTTTATACTCACCTCGTGGCCTGATAAGATTCACTCACTCACGATCGCACTCATTCGCTCGCTCACTCAGTCAGTCGGTCAATAAGAAGAAAAGAACTGGCCTCACAATGGCGGCAACTATGTATGTCTCGTTGAATTCTCATCAAGATATCAATATAAGTCATTGATTTCCTGTATCGTGAGAACTTAGACAAGCTGCAAAGTTATTAGCGTAATTAGGATTGAATATTCAATACTCCTATGGCTTCAATCAGATAGTACAGGTGGAGAAATAGGTACACAAAAAGTGTACCATGCATTGAAGGAATAAACACGTCATTGAAAACTGCAAGTAACACACCTTTCCAAAGCTCATATGCTCTTCATATCGAAACAAATATTACTCGTAAGAATATAGATATGGAATTTACATTCACAAAGAATCATTTTCATTGTGAAGAAATGTGCATCTCACCGACGACGAAGTCGTAGAGCTCCTCTATGGGCAGGTCGCTGTTCTCGTAGGAGTAGGTGCCCAGGAAGAAAATGGCGGCCGTTCTGACGTAGGCCGTCACGACCGATATCAGCCCAGTCATGTCTGCATCAAAACGCGACATGTTCAGTTGCCCCTAACCCTTGGTCAGCCCAGTCATGTCTGCACCAAAACGCGACATGTTCAGTTGTCCCTAACCCTTGGTCAGCCCAGTCATGTCTGCACCAAAACAGTCATGTCTGTACCAAAATGCGACATGTTCAGTTGTACCTAACCCTTGGTCAGCTCAGTCATGTCTGGACCAAAACGCGACATGTTCAGTTGTACCTAACCCTTGGTCAGCCCAGTCATGTCTGCACCAAAACGCGACATGTTCAGTTGTACCTAACCCTTGGTCAGCCCAGTCATGTCTGCACCAAAACGCAACATGTTCAGTTGTCCCTAACCCTTCGACTACCATATACGAAGCAACCGTTGTCAACGCAGTTCGTATGTTGAGGTCTGGTAAACAGTTTAGCCGTCAGTACACAAAACATTGATGCATGCAATATTGCTCAGTCAATGTACGATGAACTGACGTCAAATTTTGAATATTTTAGTCCAAACAAGGAATGAGTTAAGGTCAGCAGAATTTAAAAGGTATACCGTCACTGCAAGATAATTACAGTTCAAGTATTGTGTTTAAGTAAGAAGTTGAACTCATTGTATTCTCAATTGAAATTCACTGGTAATCTACAGGTGACATACGGATAGTCGTCGGTCAGCCGTACCTCACTGCTAATAATTTCCAGCGGGCTAATAAGTTCAAGTATCATGTCGTCCTCACATGTAACAGGCTTCGAGACCATCAATGTTCTAGTCCCAGACCTCAGAAATCATTTGATCAGCCTTGAATGAGCACCTAATAAGTAACCGGAAGTCTTACTAAGAGGCAAAACAGGAAATTATATGGTCTTTATCTCTATTACTTGACCTGGTAGTTCTGTCACAAGTATACTTGACTCAGAGTGCATCATAATTGTGAAGTTATCCAAGAGCCGACTTATCGTTGACGATCTACGCGCACTAAAATACTTTAAGTTGAGTATCTTGGCTTGAAAAGAATTGAAAGATTATACAACGCAGTTAAAGTTTAAAAAACTGTTGCGAAACGCAATCCGTTTTCGGGAGAAATTAATTAATTGATCAGCTTCCATATTCACGCGTTCATTCATGAACTTTAATAGCCGTTCATATAAGAATTTCCTGTAACCCATTTACTTACCTTACCACTAAATTTCAGCTTATTATACCCGCACCAAATGAAATATCGGCTGGTTTAAGGCTTGGACGGGGTTTAATGGATGGAAAAGAGAAGCGAAAAACGAAAATAAATTTACAGGTTGTTTGATAATGGGTAGAATAAGTTCCACCCGTCCATTTATTGAGGATTGTCGATGTTGCAGGCAATTTATGAACACGTTGCAATAAATAATTAGGGGTAATAATGATAATTATTGCAATTAATTGCAATAAATAATTATTAAATAATAATAATTATTATTACTAAATTTATTATTAATAATAAATAAATTATAATAGTGATAGATAAGTTCGCAGGAAAAAATAGTGTGGAATTCTAGTGGGGTAATAAATTACCCAATACTCATACCATATATGGGCACAACCTATCACAGTCTGGAGAGGATGACATCACAACCAATCACTGCTGGAAAGGGATTTATATCCGCCCCAAAAATGACAGAAACTACCCGCGCTATACTAGAATTCCAGCCTGCGTTGCGTGTTACCTGGGCCCATACTTTCAAAATTCAGTTAGTGATCGTTAGTACTTACGCTCCAATTTCTTGTCCATGATTGGTGGATTTTGCTTGAAAGGCCGTCAATGATTGGCTAATAAACTTACGATCTATTAACTTTCTTTGAAAGTATAGGCCCTGGACAGTTGAACTCACCTGACGTGAGGTTGGAGACGAAGTTCGACAGGAAGTACATGATAAACATCTTGGATAAAGTTCTTCCTTCCTTAGAACTGAGATACACGTTGAAATGAGCTGTAATGTGAAATTTTAGGAATACAAATAGGTGCTTATTTGTAACGCGTATTAAACGTTTTCACAAGTGGAAAGGAAAATGGTCTGCAAGTTAGCGAAAAACGTTTAACTGAAGCCAAACTGGGAATAAATGTAGAACTGCATCATTAACTGTAAATGTAATCAAGTATCCTTGTTTACAAGATTTCACACAAAAATTTTATTTAGCTTCCACCATAAACAAGGCAGAGTTCAAGAAACCGGTCCATTCCGCCAAGGAGTATGCCATCTATTCACAGTCAACGAAGTGACTAAGTAAATCAACAAGTTAAACTCGTATTTTCTTATTAAAAACTGCATCGGGTAATCCCTATAGGCTATTTTTATCGTCAAGAAGACTTAAAAGAGAAATTATTAATAGCGATAATAAATCGAACAATTACCATAATTATACTGTCATACATGCGCAACACAACAGCGACCGCATTCTCAAGATAAACTTCAGATAAATGAGGCAATTACATAGTTATCATCGTCAGATTGATTACTATACGTTTGATTCCATAATTCCAGCACATAACAACATACACGAACACAGTTGAACTTGCCACCACCGCGCAACTTCTAGAGATTATCTCTAGCTGAAATATAGGCTGAAATGTAGGAAACAACTTCTAGATATTGTCTCTAGCTGCATTGTAGGGCTGGAATTTAGGCTTTGCTAAAGAAACGCGAGATTGCAGGAAAATTTAATTTTTCTCAAATTTTCAGAGCTGCAACGCAGCCAGCAACTAGTCAACTACGAAAGGAATAATTTTTATCAAAAATGGCCCTAACTTCGAGTGAAGACTGCTTTGATCCTTATCTTGTAGAAATTTCAGTCTCACAGATACAAAGTATGCACAAAACTATACATTAATATGAAAGAAAAGGTAACGTTATACTATAACCTCGGTAAAAATTAAATTTCTTGTACACTTTGCCTAGTTTGAGACGACACAGATCTACTGCAGCGTAGCACAGTAACACACAACTAATATTTCCGGAATTCTTCGGTCTGGAGCCGCATAAGCGATTTTGAATTCACCAGCTGAGGCGATGCCGGATAATGGTCATCCAAACCGTGATCATGCGACACAGAAAATTGCGTTTCATATGACTAATGCAGAGGAACACTAAAATTATGCACTAATTTCATTATCAATTGACGATAATTGCGAAATCTAATGCTGTCGATTAAAACATAGTGATAGGTAAGGGAATATTATTACACGAGGATTTCATCAACTGACAATTTCTATTTGTGTAATAAGATTATCGATCAGTAATATAATCCCGAAGCAACACCCGGCAAACTATTGTCCAACTTGTCCGACAATTCCTGCCGTAAGTTAGCGCGTCGTGAGCGAACGCTCCGCAACGGAAGAACCGTGGGCCGAGAATGCCGGAGACTGCGCGCCGAACTGCCGAGCGATCCCACAGTAGAACTGCCGAGCGACCATGCGCAGTAGCAAATTCTGAGTATTATTAAAATTATTCACTGAAAAGAAAAATATATGAGATATTCTAGCTCAAAATAGCGACTATCCAGCAAACTTTAGAAACTACTAAGCTTTAGCTTTTTAGAAGTATAATTGAGGTCCCCATACGGACAGCATGCCGCTCTGTGAGCTGACCAACAGTGGGCAGAGGAACCAAAGGTTTAAGTTAAGAGTTCCAGAACTGAAGCAGTGAGTTACGGGTTCGATACCAACTTCCTGTGACAGTTATGCCCAAAATCGGAGATGTTACTCGGTGGTTTATTGGCGTAGATTGAAACAACCGGGTGGCTGACTGGAGGTTGAATGAATAGTGAGTTGGGGGTTCAAAGACCAGCAAGCTGCAAGAATTCGGTGACAGAAACGACTATTACTATTACGCTACAATGCAGGTCTTCACGTGTCGGCAATAAAGTGGAAATGGCAGAAGAAGAAAGCGATGAGCAAGTGCCGCTCCCTGGCAAACTGCTGGTGGAAAAGGTAACGTTGAAGAGCCCGCGTTTTGCGACTAAAAATGTGCAGAATTACTTGTTTCTGAATACGGCAAAATTCGGACAAAGCATACATTAAAATTTTTTTTATCTAGATGGATCTAGAATAAAATGAAGATCAGGAAAATATATTTTGTTTAAATTGAAGATAGCGATGTTGGAGTTTTAACTTTGCTTTAATGAAGAGAAATTTAGATTGAGTTATCATTACCAATCTTTTATTTCGCTTAAATGAATCGATCTTTGTTGTGTTAAATTTATCCTGATTAAATTTCTTTATTTCGTTGCGAACTCAAGTTTGACGAAATTTTTTATCATGAAGGCATACAACAGCTTTCATGCGGGCTTTTCTATTCTGTACTGCCAAATAATTACGATTTATGGAACATATAAACGTGTAACAAACAACTCATAAGCATTTATAGAATAGGAGTGTCGGCGCTGAAGAAATAGGCCCATGGCCTATTATATATAGCATAGAAATATAGCACAACAAAATGCTATACTCGCAAAATTTGATCTCAAATGACAAAACAAATAAATCGTTCACATTGTCATGGATCACTCACGCGTTCTGCATTTGTTCGCTCTGTGCGAGATTCGCTAAAAAAATGTAGGATTCGTCACGCTTCATCGTAACTGTGAAACACCGAGTCAGGCGCATGGAACTTCGAGGTAAAACCCGTCTACAATGGATACAGGCGCAAACGTGGTACAATGGGCACAGTTATGCATGTAGCACAATGGGTACAAGTATGCATTTGATGCCATGTGCACAACTATGCATGTGAGGCGATGTGCACAATGTGCACAAGACGCCAGCGGCACAATCGGTACTATAAGCACAAACAAGCATTGACACAATGGGTACAGTGGGCACAAGCAAGCATGCGACGAAATAGGTACAATGGGCACAATAACGCATGTTATACATTGAGCACAAACTCGCATGTGGCATAGTGATTACTGTGGATACAATTACAAATATGAAACAATAGGTACAGTGGGCAAAAGCATGCATATGGAATTATTAGCTACGATAGGCACAAGCCAGCCTATGACGCAGTGGGTACAGTGGTCTCCAGCACGCATGTGGTACGATGGGCACAAAAAACATGTAGCACGATGGTACGAACGAACAACGGACTTAGCGTGACGCGATCTTCGATCTCAGCGCCGTGACCAAAGTTGGGAAACTGAAATGGACTTTCAAAACCAAGAAATGTTCAGCGATTCGCGTGTCACGCGCATATACACTCTACCAAATTCAAGTCAGATTGTAAACTTATTGTATTTTTCTCGACAAGCTTGCTAAAAGAATTCATATGGAAAGTGTCTCAAAGCCATACCATAGCTCCGGCTCTATAAAGATCTTGTCTGGTTTGGGGAAAACTAAAAAAAAATCAAAGAATGACGTAGTCAGAGAATTTTTAGTTTCTATCTATTATGAAAGATTCTTAATCAACATCTTGGCGGACACTATAAATTTTTCCTCCTTTTTCTACGTTCAATTCTGCGGCTATTAGACATCCAACAGTCGATTCAAACTGACGGTGCAAGGGGCGCTTAATTGAGGAGGAAATGAGGCTTCGATCGAATTATTTCTTTATCATAGGTTTGGTCTTACTTTATTATTATCATTTCTTTATCATAGGTTTGGTCTTACTTTATTATTATAAATTCATATGGAAAGTGTCTCAAAGCCATACCATAGCTCCGGCTCTAAAAAATCTTGTCTGGTTTAGGGAAAACCAAAAAGTAACATAATTTTATGACGTATTTAGAGAATTTTTAGGTTTCACCTGCTCTGAGAGACTCTTAATCTACATTTTGACGGATCTTTTAAATTTTTTCTCCTTCTCCAAGTTCGATTCCGCGGCTATTAGATATCCAACAGTTAATTCAAAAGGGGCGTTTGAGGGGGAAATGAGGCTTCGCTCGAATTATTTCTTCATCGTGGGTTTGGTCTTTGAACAAAAGGAGCTGTGCAGAATGATACGCAATGATATCGGCTACGGGGAATGATACTGAATGTTTAGTGCCGTGCAATTTTATTTATGCAATGGTCAGCGTAAAGGCTCGACGCTTACTTTTCACCATATCCTTCTTATTTATGCATCAAGTAATTATAAACAAAATTATAATTGAATATAATGGAAAATTACTCATTCTTATTCCCTTTTTGAACTTAAGCGATATCATTCGGCATTGTTTGCCTAACGTTCGAACACACGCGGTGGAATATTACAGCATGCGACATTACTGACCGTTGAAGCAAGTCATCTTCGCTTCCAGATGAGCGGTTTTGTCAGCACGGTTCCCACGACGCACTTCCTCTGACCACTTTCCCTGTCGGCGAACAGCGGTCATCATACCTGCCTTCATTCACTAAAATTAATTATCCGAATTGTAAAAAACATTCTGCATGCCGCACTGAAACGCATTTTGCCTTACTTAATTGGGTTACGATGACCCACACGAAGCCCAAATGTGCATCGCTATTAGGACGAATGACCTCTAACTTCTCTGAGTGAGGAAAATTAGAACATTGACGGGGCCAGAGGAGAGCCGCCCGAACGTCGGCCGACCCTGATTAGGTGCCGGGATTATCAGGTGGGAATTCGTGTAGCCGGGAACCGCGATCATAGCCGGAAGTTGCAGCAGGTTATTTCCTACACCATTAACATTTCTTAGCCGCCGACATCGCACGTTCTGGGTGCCTGCTGCAATGAAATCAGACTGTCAGACTGCAACTGTGTCAGAAAATATGAAGTTTTTATCGTTAATCACTTTATTTAGTTAGATTAGATTTCGTTAGATTTATTTAGTTAGATTAGATTATTAGAATCACTCATATTACAAATAAATAATATTTTCATTATTATTTCTCGTAGCGAAAAATTGTATGTGAGATATTAATAGTTAGAAATCGTGCTTGCGGCGATGATAGAATGATGCACTTTGCTACTTTAGAAGCAACTGATGCATACTGTAGTTTTCTCAAAATATCGCAGGTATTTCGATCTTCTCAACGGATCGTAAGTACTCCGATTTTCTCATTTCGTATAATTATTTCTATTTATATTCCTTTTATTAGTTCCACTGAAGTCAATAATTTTTTTCATCATGATCCATCAAATCAACCCATCATTTTTCTCATCGACATCCGGCACGCATGTGGCATAATGTATTTCTTGTTGTGGGTGCCGTACGCATTGTTCTACAAAATCGTCGTCTATGACATGGTCACAGCTGTTGTCACAAGGTTTCAGCTTTATCATCACGTCACAGTAACTCTTGTGCTTCATCGTCTCGTTGCAACATTCTCGTCGTGCAAGATCTAGGAAAATGACTATGCAAATGTTAGGAGGCTGCTTTAGACACCGGATTCCGACACTGCAAGAGAAAGATGACAAATTGTGCGCGTCAGATGCAGGCTTGTGAGAGGCTTAATTTATCTCCGTCATAACACTGAAGGACAGCGCACGTGTCGCCACAAACGCGAGCAAGCAGATGCGGGAGGAAGCTTGTGGGCTTGCAAACCGCGATTTCAGAATTTAGCGACAGACGCGTTGTAAAATAGCTAGCTTGACTTACTAAACTATATTGTGTAAGGTTTGCATCCAGGAGAACTTTCTTCTCGCGCTTGCGAATTAGCCCGTATCATGAATATTAAATACGAGAAATAACCTACAAAAACTCAAGTTATTAGCCAAAAGTTTTATGGTGCCTCGATTTCGATTAATTATAGCAGCCTAGTTATTATTAATACTTGAATCAGTTCTGAAAATAACGAGTATCGAATTACTTTCTTTTTATTAATCAGTCCGACAATTAAGTCTTTGCTACAGTTCTGAATGGCCTTTGATTCGGTAAAGACAAAAGCGAATTAATGATCATACGCGAAAGAAGAATTAATCCCTGAAAGAAGTCTTTGTCTGTGTCTCAGATCGCAAGACTTTTACATATTTTAGAGATTCCTACAGGCGCTTTCTCTGACTGAATGGTTGACGCCATGCAATTGAGCTTAACCTTTCAGCGTCGGAGCAACACTCGAGAGACCGCCAGATGCGGATGTGAAATAATAACTTCAGCGTGGCGATATTCACGCAGTAGATGGAAACAATTAAGTTTCCATCTTTTCATTATAAGTTGGAAACAACTCATAATGAAAGTCATTCCTGTTTTTGATCTCCGGTTCTGATCTTTCAACTTCAAAACGCCAATATTGTAATCGAATTCAAAATTTTCTTTCGCAAAAACGAGAGCCAATTTAAATCCTTCACTCAAATCCTCCTGAGTGTTGCACCTCGCACAAGATTCCATCTGATCAGTTGAATTTATTGTAAAATTTATTTCATATCTCCATTTTCATTAATAAATTTTTCTTACTAGTTGCCAAAAATTTGAACATGAAACCGGAACATTTAGCGGCTCTCGATTAGATTTTACGTGAAGGGACGATAGAAGTATTTATTCATATTTTTTTCCATATTATAAATTAATTAGGAATAGAGGTTAAGAAAAGAAAATGTAAGGAAATATATAATAAATAACGGCGGAATCCACACTGCACGCGCACGTAGATCGTTTATCGTTTGGCCTACAAGGCATTATGCCACATATTGCATTACAGTAAACCACATATTGCTTTATAGTAAACCACATGTTGCATTATGGTAAACCACATATTGCTTTATAGCAAACAACATATTTCATTTTAGTATTCTACATTTTGTACATAGTGCACCACTAAATTCGCCACATAAGAGCACATAGTGCAAATCGTCCTATGCCACATAAAAATACATTGTAATTCATATTGCAGCATCATGGTTGAATGTCTCATTGCATCATAGTTTGTTTCCATTTAATATTATTTTTCGGCGCCATTGAATATAAGCATTAGGTTCCACATAACATCGACATTTTCATCATATTCAATCATCGTCATCATTATTTACACAACACACCACCAAGATATCGGCTCTGAATGTCCCTCAGTTAGTGTTGGTCATTACAACTATCTTTCAAAGAGCTATGGCACCTTTCAGAAGTCCTTCTGGTCTTCAATTTGTATGATATTTTTGTAAATATGATTTGGTTTGGTGGCGACGTAAAAGTTTAATATTCAATTTAGTTTATTCAATTCACTTTTGTAATTGTTGAGTTGAAATAGAGTCCGGTTACTTTTACAAATTGGATATGGGTTAATTTATCAACATTTTTGACTCAAATTAGCTAAAATTGGGATATGATTCTCGAAGGTAATGCCGGAATAAACTATTATAAACATCTTATGTCTCATAGAAGGATAGGACTATCCATGCCTTTTCATATACTTCGTTAACATAACAAAGACAAATCCACCAACAATTATTATCCAATACTAACGCGGTAGAAACGTAAATTATTTTTGTTATCAGAGGCATATGACTCAGGAGTTTCACTCAGGAAATTGTGTGAGGTGATGAGCCAGTCCTGCTTGATGATGTCGGCCGCCTTCTCCCCTATCATGATGGCGGCGGCGTTGGTGTTGCCCGCCACAATCACGGGCATGATGCTGGCGTCCGCCACACGCAGCCCTGACACGCCACGCACTCTGGTGTGCGTGTAATGCAAGTGTATTAATACATAATGAATCTCAATAACACTCTGGTGCGCGTGTAATGAATATGTTTTAATACATAATAAATCTCAATAACACTCTGGAAGTGTATTAATACATAATAAATCTCAATAACACTCTGGTGCGCGTGTAATAAAAGTGCATTAATACATAATTAATCTCAATAACACTCTGGCGCGCAGGTTTTATGGAAGACTTCAATAAATTAGGTGTCTTAATAACACTGTCGTGTGCGTCAAATAAAAGTATTTCAAATACAAATCTCAGTAACACTTTCTGCTCAATTTGAAATATCAATCAAGTTTTTAGTAAATGCAAAGTTTTTAATACCTGTAGAGTTTTTAATAAATGCTAAGTTTTTAATCATTTTCGACTCCGTAAAAGTTTCCAAGTTCTTTACTACTTCTAGGCTTTGAATGTCATGTGTTTAGACTGACTGCTATATTTGAATACTGCAATATCTCATAATTTTGTTTCACGTTATTTAAAAGAAATTGTGCGCTGTTGGACGTTTTAAAACATTAAGCAGAACTTGAAAATATATTTCTTTCCCTTAACAGATACTGGTTATGGAAGTAATCGCATGAAACTGCTAGCTGCTTCACCTAAACAAACACTATTTCATTTAAATTACCTGCTCATCCTGATCATGTAACTCATGTTGTGAGTAACATGAAGCCAAATAAGCTAAGTCAATGATGTTAGGATTCATATTCCAGGTCGCCTCGGCACCACGGAATTAAACGGATTTTTTTCATGTACACAATTAAGTTCGTAAAACCTACCACATTCTATTACTAACCTGAGTCTGGGGTCAACCACACCCATGGGGTCAGAGGCGGGTGCCATCTTGCAGGTACCCACGGGGTGGTAGTTGGTAGAGGCCATGTGGCGGGCAAAGCAGACCCAGTATGGGTCAGAACCATACTCGTGGTGGGTGCAGCCTGGCAGCGGCTGACATAACAATTTCTTAACGTTACTGATTGCAATATTGTTATAAAAGCTGCAAAGATAGACCGGTTTTTAGTGATAACGGGCATGATGCCAGATAAATATCATGTTTCTTTCCATCCGCATTGTCGGCGTTGAAGAAATAGGCCCATAGCCTGTTTAGATGTTATTATTTAACTAACAATTTAATACTATAATCCAGTCTGAAGATAAAAAAGAACAAAATTATATCTCCAGTAATATTTTTATACCTATAATAATTAAGTAAAATAACCATAGTGTTTTGTATGAATTTCATTAACATTTTACTCAGTTTACATGAAGTAGCTCACCATGTCGTAGAACTTGGCCCCCAGCGCCCTCATGGCAGTCGTGTTGCCGATTTGCAAGGCGAACCTAATGCCTGTATATATAATTTCCTTCATATCTACTAACTTATTATACACAAATATTAAATATTTTTCCGCCTAAAATTATTGAATGGCTAAAAATATTATGTGTGATATAAAAAAAAATATATTTTTTTGACCAGGCTGAAGAATTTCTAGAAAAAAGGCATATTTTTACAAGTTAAAGTGACAGAATTCAATGAAATAACCTCGAAGCAATACTCATGAAACGTGCACCATTTCACTGCCCATGGGAATCCTATAATCTTTCTAAGTTTATGGTAAGTCACCTTTGGACGCAATGCATTCATGTTTCGAACGGTTAGAGGGCAACCGAAAAAATAAAATTTTGCTTTCTAAATACTGAAAAAGTCTTGAGCCATTGCTTTCTTATTAAATTTCGTTGAAAGCACTTTACTTTTTCATATCTTAATGCATGCATTTAGCACCTTTAATGAAGACCCTCGCGTCCTCAGGATGACTCAGAAAGTTGGGGTCGATGAGGGGAGCGTCGTAGGGGTTACGGGAGCGCAGGGTCACTGAGCCCCGACTCTTGGGGACAGCGAGCATGGGGCCGATGTTGAACCCAGTCTTGCCATACAGGGGCTCAAAGTACTTCCTGTAGAACTATCACGATTTGCAGCTCAATATCAACTAAATGAGTTCGAACAACAAAGTTTGTTCTTTCTTCAATCATTCAGCTAATCAACTTGAATTATTTTGTCCAGTTGATTGCAAGTGACATCAAGCGATGACGTTCAATAACAAATCAATTCATCTTGAAATTCTAACTTACTGTCAATAATTATTGGGCCATTAAAGGATTGTTTATTGGCTCAATTCTATAGAAGCACATAACTTAATGTAACCAGAAAAAAATTATACCAGCAAAGCATTCTGTCAAACCTGAAATTCTATGTGATGTTGGATGATGGGCGACGGATTTGATGTGGTAGATGGGGTTGAGGTGGTTGACGTGGTTGATGCAACTGATGTGGTTGATAGGTTGATTGATTGATGAGGTTATTGTACGTGGTTGACCGGGGTGATCTGATTGATGTGATCGATGGGTTGAGGGCTCGATGAGGTTGATATAGATAGGTGAAATTGATGTAGTTGATGGGGTTGTTGTTGTTGATGTTCCCTAGAGTCCTGGTCACGCCAGACTGCTCGCACTGCGCAGGAATGTTGTTCTGTGTGAATGTTGTTCCAATAAGGGGTCTAAATGTGTTTAGCCAAGGTCTGCATTTCGGGTTGATGTTCTGTATGTGTGGCCCGAAAGACATGAAAGTGTAGAAGTGACACCTAGAATCTTGTTTTCNTATACTATACTATACTATACTATACTATACTATACTATACTATACTATACAAAGCGTGTCACGCTCACCTTGTTATCTCTCATGAAGCGCACGCCAACAGCACGGCGATTCTTGTTAAATAAAATCTGTAATAGATAAAATTTTATTCATTAATGTTGTTATTTCATACATTGACGATCTTATTCCATCCATTAATGTTGATCTATAATATAATATTCGTTTCTGTAGCCATTGCAGACATAGCACTGATTACAACTAAGTCAGGATTGCCAAAACAAGCGCAGAAAGTGGACAAGACTCAGTCATTTTTTTGATTGCATCACGCACCTTGATCACGTGCGCGTGTGCCAACACGTGCAGGTTGGGGCGCGTGTGCAGCGCGTGTCTGAGATACGCGTCCGCAGTGCTTATCCTGACGCCGTCGTGGGACGTCACGTCGGGGGACGAGAAGCCTGACGAGTTATGTCATCGTCACGTCATTGGTAAATGACGCAAAATTTGCACTAATATTTGTTTTTAATTCAATTACAGCGCCGATTTGTAAATATAAGAGTTCTCTTAATATAAAAATTTATACGCAGAAGCCTATAACGTGGGAAATTTTTATATTGATTGTGCATAACTAATCAAACAAATTACAAAGTAAAAACATATTTTACTATGCAATTTTGATAGAGAAGCAGCCATCCAGGCTACCAGTCGCTCTTTTACATACTAATTGAACATAATGATTATTGATATTTGGGACAATCTCTCAATAATAAATTAAATCTAATTTTCATATAATAAATTAAAAATACAGTGACGCGATCGTGACTGGCAGTTCACTGCTCACTGACGTGAATTGAGATTTTCTGCTCACTGACGTGACTTGTGATTCACTGCTCACTGCTGACATGCGTCCAAAATATGGTCACGTTTCACTGCGGCACTTTGGTTCATCTTATTAGACAACTTCGCAAGATATTCTTGAGTGGTAAGCTCAAGATGCGGCAATGTTCAGGAAGACGAAATGTTGCGTAATTCAATGAGCTACGTGGCGTGCATGTGCATCAATAAGGAGATATCTAAGAATTATAGAGGAATTTCCGAGAAATAATAATATTATTATGGAGGAATTTGTTAGGATAATTAAAATCTCTTAAGATAATTAAAATTTGTCGAGGAATAATTAAGGGATCATTAATGAAAAAGCGAGGCATTATCAAGGACTTGTCAATGAATGATGAAGGAATTATCAGGGAGTTATCAACATTCTATTTTGGAATTAACGAGGAATTATGAGGAACCTAAATGGGCTTTATAAAATATTAAGCAATTGTAAATAAATTATGAAGATTCTATGAAGGTGTTCCCGAGAACAATATTTTTGTTATGTTTTGATTTTGACAATTAATAGACTGCATTTGTGGGCGCGATGCAAGTTTAGCGTTCGATAGGAAGTCTTTTTACAACTCATTGTCAACTCTCGTTACGCGTCTTATACGAAACAAACGGAATTACTGAATAATTCTTACAATTATTCCCTAAATCTCCCACACAATTATTCCCTAAGTCTTTTACAATTATTCCCTAAATGATTGAAATAATTTCATATCACAAGCAATAGGGAGGTTCAACCCACCGATCTGGGAAGGACCGCTGGGGTCTACGGTGGGGTAACCGAGCTCGAGTCCCGCCTTGAGGTAGGCCTCCGTGAGGCGGGTGGCGTGCCGCCGCTTCTCTACGGATTGTGGGCCTGAGAACCCGTGGTACGGCGCTGTGGGGAGTGGGCATGGGGTGATGTTACAGAGTTAGCATATAAATTAGATACAAGATCATTTCATTCCTAAATAGTTTGTGGACAAGTTTACTTTTTCTCGTTATAGTATCATTTTATGTGCGGGTAGAACACTTCAGCCACTTGTCGCAGAGAAATCTATAAAGCTTATGTCAGAATTAGCAGAATTGTAATTTTACTTGAAGGTTTTTATTATCTGATATTCACCCGTGAGGTTGGTCACTTCGCCCCTGTACGTCTCAAGCTTCTTGAAATATGGCAGGACAGAGTCGTAGTCCCAGCCCGGGTTGCCGAGGGCCGCCCAGCGGTCGAAGTCCCGGCGGTTGCCCCGGACCCACATCAGGTAATTGATGGCCGACGACCCACCAATGACGTGGCCGCGAGGGTATGGATTGGCCTGGTGGGTAGAATTACATCACCTCAAGTATGTTATTTTTAACTGCTCATTTGTTATAGCTAATTATATTCAGCAACATTCACAATAATTCAGTAGGTTATCGATTTCTAGTGAATGCACGCTGGCGATTCGTCCCAAGACCGTTTAAAAAAATCTGCGTATTAGAGGAAGGACATTTTTTCTAGCATCCAACAAGCATTGAGGCTATCCATTCCTCCTTCTTAACCTGGGATAAAGATATATCACAATTATTCGGAATTGCAACGGAACATTAAGACGCAGGTCATAAAATAAAGTTCAACTGAATTAGAGCACACATCGGGGAGAAGAGTTCAACAATAATTGACCAAAATCAGCAGAATATAAGTAGCCTTGGATACACCCGCAAATCAGCGTGTGTGTGAGCGAAAAACAAGCAAAAAACAGAGGATTAGTGTGGTTAGCTCTCAAATATTGCCTAAAATAAGCGGATGAAATAATTAATTTCAAATTATTATAATAAAAATAATAACAATTTAAGTAATAGAGCTTGTTAAGATTGATTGGTTCATAAGGAAGCGTGTAGCCACTACAGTAACTCACTCTGTTATGATAGTTCATCTGCGCGTGACGTTGTGGGGTGGTACGAAATTGCCAGTTTGTTTGGTGGCCTTCAAGCAAGAGGAAGGCGGACAGACCAGGCACGGACACTTCTGGTGGCGGCTGTCCTCCGGCCTCCAGGACCAACACTGTCCATCTGCCCTCCTCTGACAGCCTGCCAGCCACGGCACTGCCAGCAGATCCTGCACCCACTGACAGGACGACGAAATTTGTTGTGGATACTCGTACTTTACAGGATTCAAAATTTTGGAAGATGAAATTAAAAACTTAAAAAAAACTTAATTAAAATCGTTTTTGAAGCTAAGTGCTGAAATTTCAATAGAGTAATTCTTTATACCAACCTATTTACTTAAATGAAGTATTTGTCGCATTGTTCATATTGCTCAACACACAATGTTAAGCAAACGTAAAGGCCATGTTAGTCCAGCCGCAACGTTTTAGCCATCGCCAAGGTCATTTATATTGTTGACGAGGTTCACAATACCGGCAAATATTGTGAAGGTAAAATAATGTGCATGATTGCATATGAAAGTGTTAATCAATTCATTGAGTTCATTCAATTCAATCGATATACTAAATAAATTTCTCACGGCATTCCAGAAAAATACAGTTTATGCAAACTATTAATTTTAATAAACATTTCATTCATCAATGTTTCTTGCAAATTTTGTGTCATGTTTTAGAAGTTTTATTACTCAGAGGAAAAATTTTACTCTTAAGCTAAAATATGTCCTCAGTTTTCGAATTTGATCTAATTTTTTCCTAATTTTGGCTGCCTCGGCTCATTAAGCATTGACTTCTGAGAGTATTTGAGGGATTCTCAAAATGAAGGCCATCCATTAATTTTTCCCGATCAAATATTAGGATAAATATGTCCAATATTTTAATTATGTCCTAACTATGTTAAAACACTATAAAATTTCCTAAACTTTTGTTTACAGTGGGAGTGAAAAAGTTCACGTCATGCCGTCTCACCCACGATGAAGTCGTACACGGGTGACTGGAGTCTCAAGTCCACCTTGAATGATGTGTCCCCCATCAATATGTGACCCATCATCCTGATCAGTTGGATGAACAACGTTGCTAACGCACTCGACGTTTTATCCGCCATGGCGTTGTGCTTGTGACTTAACTCAATAAACTTACGTAGCGATGATCACTTACATCTAAATGTGGAGTTATATTATATTGTATTCGTTCTTCAGCGATTTTTATTAACACGATTATAGACTTTATTTCACTGATTTATTTGATCGTTTCAAAAAGCTTATACATGGAGCGAGTTATAAGTTATTCGGCCAGTGGATGCGTTTTATGAACATTAAAATTACAGCACGACGACCGCACAGCAGCCCGCTTGATTAACCGAATTAAATCACTCGAATCTCTCGCTTGGGCTTCTTTGCCTTTGAACTTATTGATGGCTCATAGATTTGATTTTCTTGCGGTGTTTTTAGCGATGTTTTGATGTTCGTTGCTATTTTCGTAACTTGCTGCACGGTACGATCGATTTTTACTGTCAAGCAAACTTACTTAAAGCAGAAAATATTTCTTAAGAATCCATTTAAGCATTTCCAGAAGGTATAAAGCCGAGACAAAATTACGCTGTTCGTAGTTTCTTCGAAAAATTCGATAATTTTCGTATTCTTTCTCGTTTAATCAATCGCTTATGATCGTTTTTTACGCAGGAATTGTCATTCGTGAGTAAAATTTCAATTCAAAATTCGTCCATAAAGTATCTTGGGTTGCGGTAATCATTCGTTTTTTCGTTCGTGGAAGAATCTAAGAGGTCGATTATTTTAGTAGAAAAAGCTGCCAATCTGCACGAAAAAAAAACATAATCATTACATAATTGATTTAAAAGTCATCGACGTCATTATTTAGCGTTCAAATTTCCACCAATATTTTCCTTATATAATTTATTCCTAAGGAACACAGCAACAGTCGCAGAAGTCGGCGGTGAGCAGCGCCCTTCTCACACTCAACCTCCCTCGGCGGCGGTCAAGCGCCGAGTGGAAGCAGGGCTCCCGCTGACCTGGTGAGAGCTTCCCTTGCATCGGCCCAATTTGACTCCTGAATGATACCGTCGCAATATTCACTCTGAATTTTATATGCATTAAATGAGTCGTTAATGAATAAAATAAACTCATAAATTTTTCAACTGTTTCAGATAAAGTTATTCACTCGTAAAAATTGCATGCATGAATTGGACGGAGACTCCGATTTTAAAATATGCTCGTAACCCATACAAAATTTAACTTCGATTTTATAACATGAAATCTTTAAATCATTAAGTGTCCTCTAGAATTTGGCATCTCCAAAAAACGAGATGAAAATTTTATATTTCAATGATCTCTCATTATCTAAATATTTTTAATTGTTCTATTCTTTAATTATCAAAAAATATTTAGTTCCGTTGAACATTCCGAACTCTCAAACTTTACTTTCGCGGCTTGAAGACACCGCAGCACGTCTTCTATAATAATTCGCGGCTGAGCGAAAGTTCAGAAAATTTAGATCTGCCTTTGGCACAATTTCGTTGGGAATTCATATCAGGATGCTAAGCGTTTTCTCCGATTCGTTCTTTTCGGTAAGTATCATCCAAATTTTAATCATTTTATACGTTGTTTAATATGAACTTCAGTGTGACTTGCATGCTTGACTTTACGACATTTCAGTTTCGATTCCAGTACCATCTGCGAGACATTCTAGGCCGATGATAACGATGCAACTTGGCATTCAACTAACGTTTTCTGAAGAAAGAACTCGTCGTTCATCCAGGAAGTGTGAGCGGAATGGCCAGTGTTATATTTAACGCACTCGCAAGCTTACGAAACCACAACCGATGCGTCGGCTTAAACTTCCGGTGCGTAAAACTTTCCCTACAAATCGCAAGCCTGTCATTGGAAAAATGAAACTCACGTGTGACTTACGTTCCGCTGTCTTATTTCATAATACTTCGACGTCCACATCTCCCCCGCAGTATCTAACGGGACGGAGTGTAACACTGCACTGACTTGTGCACGTGTCACTTATTTCCTAACACATCGACTCAACATTTCCCTGAAGTGTCTTACGGTGCTATGAAATCTTCGAAGAGTTGATTACAATACTATGATGTAAATTAATTGTCATAATATCTTGCTGTAGAATTGCTGTTTATTGATTTAATGTGATAATGCTTAATATCTTACAGATGGCAGCATTACACTACCCTGAGTTGACTCAATAATAATTAATAACGTTAAATGTTCTGATCTACAACTAATTTTCTTTCAATAATTGCTCAGTATACTCATTTCATGTCACGAATCGTGCAACGAAATGTTGAGTATACGTATTACCAAAGCTAAGTTCCATTATAATAAATATCTCTACTGCAGCTAATTTTGTTTTTGTTTTCAATGTTCCCACGATAAAACTGTTGGAATAATATCGTCCACTTTTATGAACAAATTACCGGTGCCGTGAATTTTTTAATACTTATTAATTTTCTCTGCAATTTTACAGTTTCCGGCGTCTACAGGCTGAATTAGACTCTGTTGTATTCACTAAACTAGCAAAAATGAAACTGATACTCTTTATTTTTAATCATTCAGGGCATGGAAAGCTTTCCTTAAAAACTGTTTCATGTGCTTGAAGTCATTAAGTCTACTATGTATGATACGATAGATGGGTGATAATTGAGAAGATATTTTGAGAAATAATGGGACAATTCTTTTCCAATAATTTAATTCATAGAATTCAATTCACAGGCTCGTGTCATTCTATTTTACCTTGCCAGTATCGGTGCCAGGACGCGACAAAATAAACGTTAAAAGCAAATCATTCATCACTGACAATGTTATAGCAATTTAAATATCACGACAATTTTGTTTGGTTAAATTGATTCATTGAATCTTCGAACATACATGTATTTATTCAGAAGTCGCATCAGAAGACACAAAAATTTCAGACCTCCTGAATCTCACGAAATAAAAAAAAACTGTAAAAAAATTGAGCAGATGGTGTAATGTATTCCAGAATTTATTAATAACAAGAATACGAATAATGTGTGGGATGAGATTTGTTGAAAAAAAGAACAAATTTAGCCACGGGATTTTTAAATAACGGTAAGCATGAAAATGCGAGATAATATGACAATATATTATATTATGCAATTGCATTTTATAATATACGTATAATAATACGATATATTATATGATAAAGTATATACACAATGAGATAATACGAATAATATGAGAAAACAGAAGTGAAGATCAAAAAAATTTAAGAGGAAAATAGATGAGAACACCGACGAGGGAATATCTCGAGATGGTCACGACATGGAGAGGTGAAGACAGGCAGAGACCGCGCGCTCTCCGGTGACTGCAACGCTGCTTGAGTAATGATCTACTTAGGAGCTTAAGAGTTCGGTCACTCGTCTGCTTAGGAGACCGCGGCCTCTCGTCTGCTTAGGAGGCCGCGGCCTCGCGTCTGCTTACGAGTTCGGCCACTCGTCTGCTTAGGAGATGTCTCTTATACACATCTAGANCACTCGTCTGCTTAGGTGGCCGCGGCCGCTCGTCTGCTTAAGAGGCCGCGACAGACGCGAGCAGCAAGCGGCGCTCGTCCAGAGAATCTGTTCTACCAATTTTATATTCAAAGAAAGAATTCAATTCAAATCGAACATCTTAAGAAAGTTATTCATATATATGTAACTCTAATATTTTAGTGCCCTAAGAAAAGTTATATAATCTCAAGTATAACATGGTTGAATTTGCTCGATATTAACATTTTTAATATGGGGTGAAATACTGACATGAAGCAATTAATGTCTCGCGTGAAAAATTGTCATCACACCGAGAGCTATTTTCCCTTTCGATTCTCGCAGGAAACTTCAACTCAATACAAGTGAAAATTGACTAACTCACTTGAGGTACTGATTTAATGCTGAATTTTTTAAAATGGATATGCTGAAATTTTTGCAACGCTTCAGAATGGGTGAAAAATTTTCCAGTGGAGGTGGAACACTGAACACGTAAAATGCGCCTTTCTCACCGTAACAAGCGACCACTCATCAGGTCATAATTCATAACAACTTATATGTCTCTATGAAACTCACAATTAATAATACAATAAAGTTGATTGATAAGCACTCTTGCATTCAAGCAAGACTTCATTAATATTTTTCTAGCTGATCATACAAGAGAACTGATATTATAGTTTCCCTTACTTACTTGACCAGACCAAATCAATTTTCTTTGAAGAGTTTTCTTTGTGCATTTTTTTTTCAGGGGGTATTTGTGCGTAAATGGAAGATTATTAATTATTAATTAAGTCAAATTTGTTCACCTCATCGTTGTCACCATCAATACTTAGGTGGCATCAATTTACATACATGTTGATAATATATAAATGTCGAAAATATATAAATTAATAAATAGTATTTAAAGAAATCACAAGTTGCTAAAATTTACTAAATAGTTACTGATTGAGGAAAATTTTCGATCTTAAAGAATTTTAATATTTCAAAACGTCAAGAGTCTTATTTACTCGCTTAAAGGGAATCTAAAGAAGAGGTAACGACACAGTTAGGGAAATGAAGAACAAATAATTGCACATTTTTTTCATTGTATTGTTACACGAAGTTATAAACCTCACATGGCGAGAACCACTGCGTTACAGTGAGCAGTGAACCGTCCAAAAATGAACTTACGTTAACGTAACTGCAGGAGTAACAGCGTTGTCCATTGTCAATTTCAACGTATATATCATTATTCTTAACATACATTTACATTTCTTATTCAATTATTATAGTCAAATAGAAGCTTCATGGTCATAATATTTTAATTGTATTTATCTAAGAAATGAATGAGAGGAATTTTACAATGTCTTCTTTTACGAAATTTGCTGATTTTTCCACATTTCGTCGAAAATTCAGTATATTATCAAATTTCAACCGTTAATTAGTCCCATTTCTCGAAATAAAAATCAAACATGAAATAAAATTTTAAAATATCTATCCACACAAAAATATATATTCTTCCGTTGAATAGATACATCAGTAGAGATTCTTATACGACACCACTGTAAAAAAATATAACTCAATACTCACTGCAGTGAGTGACAGAGAGCGCATTTTCTCGTCGACGAAAACGTGAAGTAGCGGACGGACGGACGGACAGACAGACGGACATGACGAGCACAATAGTGCATTTTCTCCATAAATGAGAAAATGCGCTAAAAAGACGAGGAGAATTAACACCGTAGGGAACTTTGGTGCGTTCTAAATCTATAAAAGACTAGAGAATTGTAAGTCTTTTGACACACGTTCATCACTGTCACTGAGCAATACCAGATTATTTATCGCATAATGAAATCATTACAATATTTTAATAACTATTGAAAATAGTCTACTTGTCAAATTACGCCATACGAAAGTAGTTTTCTTGCTAAATGCGTGCATATTTCTCAAAAAATTCGTGCTCTAAACACACCAGACCCAATTTGCTTTCAATTGTGAAAATAGTGTCGAATTATAATAAATAGAACTATGATCAAGGAAACAGTTTTACTACATGGATGTATTAACGTAAAACACGCGAATAAAGTCTAGGGACTTGGTCAATATCACGATGCAACCAGTCTTCTTGTTCTGCAGGTTGTGGTGAACTCCTTAAGTGACTGTTAATTGTAAACGCTTTTGTCTAAATGATTAGAGTTTCTTATGTTATCTCCACGTATTACATTTTTACATCGATATTTTCAGTAAACATCTCTGTTTATCTTATCCTTGCATTTTTACTTAAATATGTTCTCAGCAAAATTGAAACAGCTAAAAAAATATTCAAGCTGATGATTGAAAACTATACCAATAAGAGTGAATAAGGAAATTCCATGATAAAATTTTCCAAATAATTCGACACGTGTTTACAGAGCAGAGCGAATGTTAAACGTAAATTAATGTTTGTATTTAAACTTACACGCATTGTCGATAACTTCTTAACTATCGATTTCTTTCATGAATGAACACACCAATACATCATAAAATGCCACAAGGCTTTGACAATATCCTCCGTTAAATAAGTAAACATAATAAATAAATGACAAAAAAGTTAAGTATGCGGACAATAAGTAAAAAATTGCAATAAATGTGTCAAATACCTCAAGCTTTTCAATAATGCATTAACTTTCAACTGGAGAAGCGATTCCATCAGAGCCAAATGTCTAAGTTCATAAATTACACTAACATCAACACAACATCACAACAGGACAACTGGCATCTAACCTTCAACATATTAACAGGAGTCTTCTTCGCCATTATTACTTTTAGTCCTTCGGCTACTATAAATTATTGCGTGGATTTGAATTCAACTAACACCGACGCGAGCGTCACATGGGCACCATCACCCTCGCCTCACACACATAACTATGGTAATCGTACGACAATCAATGAATTGATAGGTGACTTATCTAGATTTTCCTACAGTTACTGCCCGTCACCGAATGGCTCCCCAGTCCTGCTTGATGAGGTCGGCCGCCTTCTCCCCTATCATGACAGCGGCGGCGTTGGTGTTGCCCACAACCATCACGGGCATGATGCTGGCGTCCGCCACACGCAGCCCTGACACGCCCCAAACTCTGCGGTCAAGTCGTCAACGGAAATTTTATTGATGGCGATGTGTACAGAAAAACAAGGTCTCTTGAAAACGAGAATTTTGAGTCATAAGAAAATTGCAATTTCTCAATCAGGAATTATGGTGTCAAATAATTAGGTAACTCTACAACATGTTAGAAAATAAAGCACTTCTAATCCCACCAATTAGTTTTTTTTTAAATTGGCCATTGGATTACTTGAAGAGAGTCATCCTGTCTTATTGATTTACATTGATATTATATAATATAATTTATGACAATTTTTTTTTATAGAGTCACCCCTTCGTTTCTGCCATTGGAAAAGGCTGAGGCCGTACCGGTTTTGTAGGTTCTGACCTGCATTTATCAAGATGGCACAAATGAAAAAACTAAAGCCTACCTGCGCGCAGTCTCAAGACTTTGTGACAGATATTGTGACAAACACAGAAAATGTCAAATTGAATAAATACCTGAGGATGAACAGACAACTGTGCTTACGATGAAATTATAAACTATTGGTTAGGCTGCGACTAACCTAAGTTTGTGGTCAACAACCCTCATAAGGTCAGAGCTCGGTGCCATCTTGCAAGACCCCACAGGATGGTAGTTCGTGGATGACATGTGGCGGGCGAAGCAGCGCCAGTAGTCGTCTGAATGCTTCACTTCCTTCTCACATCCCGGTAATGTCTGCACAAAGTTGACAGTTAAATCTTTTATTTAGGTATCATCACAGGAACGAATATATCTATCATGCAGTTTTCATTAAAGAACGTACAATTTAGCTACACCAATGTAATTAACATGCATCAGCGTGGTGCTCGGAATTTTGTGAAGATATCTTGGAAATGTGATGAGGGATTCAGTGTATATGTTTTACAAAAAAAAACACTCCCATCTTTAAAATCTATTTGTAAATTCATCTAATAATAAAGCAAATTCTCCTTCACATAACAATTGGTAATATTTACAATATCTAACGTGCAATTATCTCAGTGACACTATCAACATTTCTTAATAATGCCAGTTTATAAAAATGACTAGCATCCGACATGCGCTCACGCATATTTTTATTCCTGCATCCTCACGTATCAAATTAAGTTTACTCACCTTGTCGTAGAACTTGGCACCAAGCTTCCTGAATGCTGTGGTGTTGCCCAGTCTTAACGAAAGCTTCACAGCTGCAAAATAAATGTGTGCTGAAAATCAATGTGGCCAAAAAAAATTTAAAAGTCTAAAATATTTCTCTTTGACACTGAGCGATGATACAGCGAGAGTCCAGATACAAATCAGGTGGAGTGAGCATATTCATTATGTTATTTATAAAAGCTGGAATGTCCAGTCTGTACCCACTTCAGTCCCTCATTCGTGTGAAAGTAGCTATTTAATGGACAATAAGCTAGGAAAAAAGTTATTTCTTACATGCAGTTACTCTCAATGGCAAAAAAGAAACGTGAAGATATCATTACTCGAACTTCCAAACAATCCATCCTTTGCATCATCACTTAGAACGGCCGGCAGACAGTAATTCACCACCAGCCACGACTTACATATAATGATATCTACATCATCTGTGTGGCATAGGTAATAGAGACCAATGATCGGAATGTCACGAGGACTGTAATATAACATCAATCCCATTCCCTAACCTATCCAGACATCACTACACCACACTCTTCTTCATCGTAACGTCTACATATGTCATCATCTATGTGGCTGAAGAAGTTGGGGTCAATGAGGGGGGGCGAGAGCTACATGATTATTTTATTAACATTAAAGCTACATGATTACATATTTAACATTAGCAAACCTCACCCCACATCACAACATTACACCTACCCTCCATCATAACATCCACATCGTCAGGGTGGCTCAGGAAGTTGGGTCAATGAGGGGGGCGTCGCGAGAGCTACATGATTGCTTTAATATTAATAAACCTCACCTGCAGATGCACATTCTAGCTTGCGGGACTTCAGGCAAAGCCAAGGGCGAAGTCGCGGTTCCACCATATTGTTACTCAAAAAAGCTCCTTTCTGAGTCTGAGCAACAGTCGTTTTCCAGTTATAACATAAATCCCATAATCCCATAATCCCATAATATAACATCAATCCCATTCCCTAACCTATCCAGACATCATTGCACCACACTCCTCTCTCATCGTGACGTCTACATTTGTCATCATTGATGTGGTTGAAGAAGTTGGGGCCAATAAGGAGGGTGTCGCGAGAACAACATGATTATTTTATTAACATTAACTAACTTCAGCCCAGATCACAACATCACACCCACCCTCCATCATAACATCCACATCGTCTGGGTGGCTCAGAAAATTGGGGTCAATGAGTGGAGCGTCGCGAGGGTTGCGGGACCGCAGGGTGACTGACCCGCGGCTCTTGGGGACGGACAACATCGTGCCGATGTTGAAGCCATGCTTGCCGTTCAGCGGCCCGAAGTACTCCCGGTACATCTGAACATCGTGCACTCTCTCAAATAATGATTAAGTATTCAAAATATTAATCTGTTTCGAATTTCTTGTTAGGGGATCATGCTAAATTCTTTTGCAAATAATAGTCTGGTTTTGAATGACATGGAACATGTTGCGCTCATTAAAACAAATGCAGGCAGAATAAAAAACGGTTACAGGGATTTTTCACGTTACAGATAACATGTTCCGTATTTATTGTTTATTAGAAAAAATCACTCCTGGGAGCTCCGACGTCTTCAAAAAAGGCTTTTAAAGACAATAGATTTTATCAACCCAAGAATGCGCATTCATTGTATAGCCGTCGAAACCAAGTCCAACAAACGTCGGAAAATTTTTGAGAACTATTAAACTTTTGCCTGTAGAGCCTTTTGATTCGAGCTTTCCAACAAAAAGCTCTCCCTTTATATTACTACTGCACTATTCGGTCATCGTTTGCTTTAATTTTATGCTAGAATCTATTTTACCGACCTTGGTACGGAAGCCGATTTGGTTTCCGAACATGACACCACCGTCGATGGCGGGAGTCTGGGGCTGCAGCACCAGCTGTATGTCGGGCCACAGTGGGTCAGCGTGTGATCCGGTGTTCAGGAACGCGTTTCCATCGAGCCCGAACGACACTGACAATGGACCTGTCACCACAAGTTCATTAATGGCGACTTCGTTGATGAAGTCTCATCGAAGGACATATGTCAGTCACAGTGGTGGTAACATCAAAGGAGATCTGCCATTCTCAAAGGTAGTAGCAACAGAGGACACTTACCAGTCTCAGTTGTTGTGGTACCAAAAGGGGACATCTGTTAGTCTCAGTTGTGGTACCAACTGAGAACAATCGTAAATAACAATAGTCGACACAATATTATTAATTATGAGCAACGAAGGACTGCCAAAATCAGAACCAAATGATTATTAGGAACATGAATTTAAACTACCTGTTCCAGACAATTTTACGAACATTATTGGAACTGTGGTCCTTGCGAAACTTTTCTGAATGTAACTACAGAACTTTAGTAGCTTCGCAAATATTTTTCTGCAACATTATACTGAAACTTAGCATAAGCTGGAAGAAAACTTGCCAACTTCAAAACATCGTCATAGTCAATATGCATTACCTGCTTTATCTATTTACACACAAGCTAGCCCATCTCCCGAAAGGCAGAAAAGCCTTTGGCAAAGATTAATAGGGCGATACAACCACTGTATCAGTGCAAAATACCTTTTCTGTGAAGCAAGTACCAGACGGAGGAGTACAGGTTCAAAAGTCTGCCAAAAGAAGACCCCTTGTGTCTGTCGATGGTCCAGGTGAGGCCGTAGAGGGTAGGATGATCCTGCAGGTTCTGACCCACTCCAGGCAGATGGTGAACTACGGGAATCTGGCCACGAAATTCAGTGTCAGCAGAATCATTCAAATACTAATTATTTTCAACATAATAACATCATTATTTCTTCAGTTTTATAATTCGTTGAAACATTTTACATAGTTAAGTATCTGTATAGGGATTTGGTAGTGACCGGATACTACAATGCCGGCAGAATTGGGGTAGGAAAGGTTGAGATTTACTAATTGGTTGCGAGCGGAAACGCTCCGGACCTTAGCGAAGAGTCATTTACGGAGCAAGTTACTATTAGTTTTCTCGAAATTTCATCCAATTATACATGTTTAAGCTAAATAGTATAATAATTTTATATTTCGCTTCTTCGACAGAATAGTCTCTGCTTTAAAACTGTATGAAATTATGGTTTTCTACGTCATAGTCGCAGAAAAAAAACTATTCTTTCTATGAGTAGCTATTTCATTCCAAAAATGAGTAATAAATAAAACAATAGAAAAAAAATATATAATATAGTAATAGAATAAAAATCATGCATTAAATTTTACGAAATTTCGATGTCATATTTTGAGAGCCTCACGTTAAAGTTCTGCAGGTGACGGGGGTCCCCCACCCCCGACAGCATCAGGACCTGGGGGGAGCCTATCGCCCCCGCCGACAAGACCACCTCCTTCGACGCGTACACCTCGTGAACCTGACGTAATTATTAATATTTATTATTATTTATATAGTGAACCATTATTATGAATACGTGAACCAATATTAACCATTAATATGAATGCAGTGAACCATCAATGACCATTTATATGAATACGTAAATATGTTTTATGAATACATGAACCATTATTAACCATTAATATGAATGCTGTGAACCATCAATGACCATTAATATGAATACGTGAATATGTTCTATGAATACGTGAACCATTATTAGGTAAGCTTCAGCAGACGACGATCTTTTGCCATTCAAGACGTTGATCTGCGGCCGCGTGAAGCCTGCACACAAAAATCTTGAAAATATCTCATATAATTTGCATTTTTATATATTTTAAATCTTATTTTTAAAAGTTTATGGAGGGACAAAGAGCTTTCAAGCAATTGCCAATGATATACTGTCGAGAAATTTAATACCGTGATCAAGCAGCAAATTATACATAACAATTTATTGTTAAATTAAATCTATTATGATTATCTATTCCTCACCGAACTGCTCTTCGGCGTTGGGGTCGACGGGTGACGGAAAGCCGAGCTCTCGCCCAGCGCTGAAGAAAGCCTCGGCTACGGGCGTCTCCCAGTCCTTGTCCATTACCGTGATGGGGCCACCGTAGCCGTGATACCCCGCTGCCGTGACACGGTAAGGGCTTTAAGCCGAGACAAGGTACGGGTTTGAAGCCGTGAAGAGATAAGGGTTAAGACCGAGACAAGGTACGGGTTTGAAGCCGTGACACGGTAAGGGCTTTAGGCCGAGACAAGGTACGGGTTTGAAGCCGTGAAGAGGTAAGGGCTTAAGGCCGGTACACGAAAGGGGCTTAATGTGGTGAAGCCCGTGAAGGCATTATTCAGGAATGGATGGGATAAGTTGTTATGCTTAATGCGGGACTTGAAGGGCATAGGATTAATATGGATCATTATTGGTGAGTCAAGGTTGGTAAGTCATCAAGGTTGGTAAGTCATCAAGGTTTGTAAGCCAATAAGGTTGGTAATCTATCAAGGTAATTAAGCATTTAAGGTTGATAAACTATCAAGTAAGGCAAGCATTCGTCATGGACGTAAAGTAGTATCGACGTGAGCTTGAAGTAAGACTCAGTCCCACGGTTTTTACATGTCACTCACCTGTTTGGTTGGTCACTCCCCCCCTGAAAGTCTCAAGCTTCTTGAAGTATGGCAGGACGGAATCGTAGTCCCAGCCCGGGTTGCCGAGGGCCGCCCAGCGGTCGAAGTCCCGGCGGTTGCCCCGGACCCAGATCATGTAGTTGATGGATGAGGACCCGCCGAGCATTTTGCCGCGGGGGTATTTGTTGGCCTGGACACGTCTTTTGCTTAGAAAGAATTCTAATCCCAATGCATGCGTGTCGAATTCTAAAAAAATATAATAATTCTAAAAAACTATATAATTCCAATCCCAATGCATGCATGTCGTCTACCGTACAGACAATGATTTGATTTATTTGATTAGTTTACATAGCAAAATCCTGAACATAAAATCAATAAAGTCGTCAGTAGGATTTGCTAAAAGAATGCCGAGTGATAAAAGTTAAATAGGCCAAGAGGCGGACTTGTCTGCCTATCACGAAAATGACCACGAATGATGTTATAAAATTATATTTTTGGTCTAATGAGATCAGTATGAATTCATCTGATCAACATTGATGGAAAACTTAGAAATATAGTCGCAACATTTTAGCAACATTGTCAGTAACATAATATTGTGACCTGCGGATACCTATAATGTCTTCAATGTCTTTTCGTATTGAAAGGCCTGGTAACGAGAGTCCGAAACTTAGTCTGAATGAAGGTTAAGTTGCACGAGGTGATAGGTACTAGATAAGTACAGGTATAGGATCATTATACGTATAAAGTCAAAATATGTATGTAAAGTATCATACTTCATTATCTTACATTATTGACATAGTTGAACTGGCTGTGCTTCTGGCTGGTGGTTTGGTACCACCAGTCGGACTCGTGTCCCTCCAGGATCATGAAGGGCGCCATGCCGGGCACGGTGGCCTCGGGGGGCGGTTGCCCGCCCGCCTCGAGGAGCAACACCTGCCACTCCGCCACCTCCGACAGCCGACCGGCAACTGCACTGCCCGCCGAACCCGAACCAACTAGAGGGAAAAAAATAAGCAACGTTAAATAAATAAGCCATGTCACATTAATCATCTTTGTGAGGTTATTCACTTGACTTTCGAGTTGAGCATTGTTTATTTCCGCGTGTTGATAATGTATATGTCCGAATAAACAGCTGTAATATATTTCTATAAATTTTTAATTATTATATAAATTTGTCATAATCAATGTACAAAAGATCGTTGCTTGAAAGGTGATGTCATTTTGTCTCTTATCCTACATACGTTGTAAGGAAGTTAATAGACTACAACTTCAATGGTCCGGAAGAACGACATTTGCATCACAAATTTCACAATCTCGCCCGCCTCGCCCTCATTATTCAGAGGTCAGCAGCGGCGCGCTGCGTGTCGTCTCAGAAAACTTCATGGGTCTTTTGTCCAAATATTGACACGCTTTCTTCCCAACGGCACAAGCTGAGAGCGGACGTAGCACAGATAACCCTTTTTGCTGGGACAAACTGAGTCAGGGTGACTCGCACAGGAACAAAAAGTGCATCTCATTGTGAACAAAGACTCACTGAGATCTATGATGAGTGCTGGGTGGGGGTACCCGCTCCTGACCACTAGGAAACGTCGCATAAGAAGCAAATTTTTCCAACACAAATCAACTTGCGATGTCTCGCCTTGAATCGCTTACCAAAGTTAGGGCTGAAGTCGGCAGCAGCAAATTAAGGAATGCTGGTCCGTGCCTTTACGATTAAATAAAATTATTTCATCTCGTATTATTTCATTTGTTAAATTTTTCTAAACATACTCCAATTAAAATTAATTCACTTAATAAATTTTACACTCGCGTGATAACATTATTGGATGTATTTTTATAACTGTAATCATTTAAAGAAGAATTATAAAACCTTTATTATTCGTAGAAAGTTTTTAAGTGAATATCTGCAAGACAGAGAATGTATAAAGCTATGTGTGGTCGCTACATACTTGCATAGATATCCTCCACGTTTACATAGATATCCATGAATAGATATCCTCCTACATAACATACTTATTTTATATCCTATATACTTTTCTATATATTCGTAAGACAATCGTATAAGTTTAGGGCAGAAACCCTGCGGTCATTCGCTGGAGTCTGGACGTCGGATCTCTTTTGGCTGTCAGGCGGTAGAGTCGTGGTAGACTGGAAAACGCGGTAGATGGTAGACTGCATATTGTCTACTGGGTGGTTATAACGGGACATCAACGCGGTGGATGGTAGACTGGGTCTACTGGGTGGTTATAGCGGGACATCAACACGGTAGAAGGTAGACTGGTGTCTATTTGGTGGTTATAACAGGATATAAAACAAATTCACGCTAGCTCTGTTGTTTGATGAGTTTCAGGAACATGATTGACTCATTCGTCGTCATCCCATTCGGCTTGATGGTGAAGACAAAAAAAAAATAAACAGACACTCAAAATTTAATCAATTAAAACGAAAAAATTTATATCTCTTAAAAGACGTTATGGTTGTAGAGAAATATCGATGATTTATAATTACTCCATTGTTATTTCGAACAGATCGAGCAGCCTTCTTTCTCCCACATTCATCGTGAAGAACTCTTTGTAAACGCTTTGAGAGATCAGCGATATTTCATTATACGGATCAGATAGTATCTATCACAACAAACATAACATACAACATTTTTGGAAAGCATAACAAATAAGGCAGATAACATCGATCTTCCAAATTTGTTGGTGATTAAGATTTTACGCTTGTATTCATTCTAGTTTTCAAGCAGCATCATTATATTGTATAACGTAGTTTATACCAACTCATGTAATGGAACTCAAGAGGGCGGCGACGCATTACACGAGATAATCAGCAGCCACAATCTATAATGTTGGTAACCATTACGTAATAATTCCTGCAGACATTCCAGAAGGGATGCAGTTTATGGTTCACATTTGCCAAAACGCCTGGTCATCCTCCAAGAAGTCGCCCAGCCATCATAAGCTCATCTTCTTCATCCACACAAACCTCACGGCATCCACGACAATGCCCGTGAAGCAGTAGCACTGCTCCTACAATTCATCATCAGCCTCCGGAGCTTCAACAATGCCTCATCATCAAGAATGATTTGCTGAATTTGTTACAGTCTCTTGAGCCCTCCAGATGCGTCGTGCATTCACCATCTTACGCCAGAAGTACCCCCACTCTCTCAGCCTTACTCAGCAGTCCCACAACATTTCCCAGTTTTGAACCAGCCTTACCTAGCATGCAGAAGCCCTTATTTACCAGCCTTGCCTAGCATGCAGAGCCTTCACATGTCCCAGCTTTCAACAGAATGCATGTTCCCAATCTCCGGTCTAAACTAAAAAGTATGACCCTCACATTCCTCAGCCATTCCTTGAATTCAGGTCCCACAAATCCCCAGCCTACCCTGGCTTGCAGGTACCCTAATTCTTAAGCCTACCCTAGCATGCAGGTCCTTCAAATAGCTAGGCCTCCTTAGCTTGCAGGTTCTCCACATTCCCAAGCCTACCCAAGCATGCAGATCCCAATTACTCAGCCCTCCCTAGCTTGCAGATCCCCTAGTTCTTCGGCCGTCCCTAGCATGCTGGTCCCTCAGTTCCCCAGCCATACCAACTCATGCATGCCGGTCTCCTAGTTCCCAGCCATCCCTAGCATGCAGGTCACCTAGTTCCCCAGCCATCCCTAGCATGCCGGTCTCCTAGTTCCCAGCCATCCCTAGCATGCAGGTCACCTAGTTCCCCAGCCATCCCTAGCATGTCGGTCTCCTTATAGTTCCCCAGCCATCCCCAGCAAAAAGGTCCCCACACTCCCCGGAGGAACGAGTGTTTGCCCCAGCGATCGTAAGTTGCCAGGCTAAGGCCGCGCCGCGGTTGCGTCATTCCTCGGCAGGTTGGACACCCAACATCTATAGTTCTCAATGACTTTTTTGTACGGCGCGCGTAAAGTGGGAGTGCAAATCAGGGCTTCACTTTCTCCTCGGACTTCGGCCCGGCCACAGCTCTGCTAACAATACCGACGAATGCATCATCAAATTGCAACAAATTTACACCGAGTAAATTCCTCACACTGTGAATCCAGTCGGTCAAGACACGAATTTTAAAGATATGAAAACATTATAATTTGGATTTGTATTTTATATAATCTTTTGAATCAAGTCGAAAGAGTTTTGCTGGCGCTCAGGCAGGCAGGCAGGTAGGTAACGATTGAAGGCTGATTAAAAAAGTATTTCCTGCAATGTTTTGATTCACAAGCTTCTATATCTTTCCTTTTCTAAGTGCTTTATGGTAAATGTGGAATAAAAAGATAAAAGTGACAATGATTGAAATTTGCGCAGGAATAAAAGCAGAATGGAATGAATGAGACACGAATTCTTCCGGCGTTGCGGAAATACTTCATCATCTAAGTAAACCCGTAACACTCCTTAAATTCACCAACGAGATTCACATGAAATAATGTCACGAGTGCAAACTATGTGGTTAGTTCAACTGATTTTATTTTTAATTCTGAGTAATTCAAAGTTCAAGTCTTCTTCTGGACGCCGTCAGCTGTCTGGAAACTTAAAAAATAGAGGAAGCAAATTACCATGATTTATTAAATCACATATGCTTTTCTCTGTTATAATCTGTTTATCAATGAAATTAAATCCATTTTTAACTCCTAACTCTCCTCCACGGCCCAGCTGAGATGTTACAGCTCCTCTATCCCCACCCGCCTCGCTGGGAGATATTTCAATTATTTCATCTTAAAATGCCCCGAGTGGACATCCCTAGCTCCCCCCTGCCCAAGTTTTTACTTGGGTATCCCATACGAGCCTCCCAGGCGAGCATTACCCCATGCAATCTCCAGACTTTCTCTTCACTGAAGAAAAAATTCCCCCTGACGCGGGCAAAGTCTGGTGTTCGATGTCTTCTTGGTTCCGTGTTTGCGGACCTTGAACTGAATACTGACTGCATGGAACAGGAAAATCTCTTATGGGGCTCCGATGAATAATTGGAGCAAGAGATGGTCTTGAACTTTAACAATGCCTGGGATTAACATCATCATCGATACTATTCTCTTTTATTTTTGACAAGCGAACTAGATTTTATTAGAATCTTTATATTATATAAAATTTTATATATTATATATAGAGTTTTAACAAAAAATTTACAACGTACCATAATATCAATTAAATTGTTTAAGTTGCTGTTCTTAATAATTCAACTCAATTATTATCAGTTCATTTTATTTAAATCTTACCTCGTTATTTAAAACAAAACTAACCTATATAATTCGATAATATTAGTCCCGGCTTCAGCAAGAGGTAAATATTTTCGGGTCATATAATGTAAAAAAAATCATGCATTTAAATGCACAACATCTTGTCATCTTTTCCGAGTTCAAAAATTAAATTTTAGAGTAAACTTTAATTTTTAGTAGCAGCTTTTTAAAGCCAAGTCTCGACATCCGCGCCTGCATTGCATTGCGGTTACGGATCACGAGGCGGAGGAGAGGCGGTGTCGAATGGCCCACTTGGCCCTCACATGGCCCTCACTTGGCCCTCACTTGGCCCTCACTTGGCCCTCACTTGGCCCTCACATGGCCCTCACTTGGCCCTCACTTGGCCCTCACTTGGCCCTCACTTGGCCCTCACTTGGCCCTCACTTGGCCCTCACTTTTCCCTCACTTGGCCCTCACTTGGCCCTCACTTTTCCCTCAATTGGCCCTCACCTGGCCCTCACTTGGCCCTCATTTGGCCCTCACCTGGCCCTCACTTGGCCCTCAATTGGCCCTCACTTGGCCCTCACCTGGCCCTCACTTGGCCCTCAATTGGCCCTCACCTGGCCCTCACTTGTCTCTCACTTAGCCCTCACTTGACCCTCACTTGGCCCTTGCTTGGACCACGCTTGTACGCATGACATTATATGAAGATAAGTAAGGCAAATTGAATATTATTACCATTTATCCTAAGTAAACGCGCCAATTAGTTTAGAATAACTAGAATATGCATTTATTACGCAATCTTGTAGGC